AGAAGCTTCTTACTTCTCTGGGGTCCACACCCCTCATCTCTGGTTGCACTGAAGGTCTGGGAAATAGAAAGCCCCATGGCCTTTAAAATAAAGGCCAGGGAATGGCTCTCAGTTCATGGGGGAGCTGGACCCCACCAGGGAAGCCGAGGACAGCCAGAGAAGAAGGGGGGAGGGAAATTGTGCTTGCCTTTTTGGAGGCTCATAGGGATGGTGGGACAGGACAGATGGGCATGGTCATAAGCCACCAGACAGGCTCCACTACCCATTGATCTGATTCTGCTTGCCAGGCTGCTGACAGGCAGAGTGGCAGAGGCCCAGGACAAGAAAAGGAAAGGTCAGAGGAGGATGAAGGGGCCTGGGCCGAAACAGTAACTAGGCAGGGGTGGGGAAGGAGGACTCTGATCAGACATTTTCTCCCACTCCACTTGGCCTGGGAATGAGACTCCATGACCCACCCTGCATCATTCCTGAGTTCAAAATATACTTGCCATCAAAATGGACAGATAACAACTTTGTTAGGCCTAGATTCAAAGGCCCATCCAGATCTGAGAGGGAGTGTGGGCACAGAACAGCGGCATCCCTGGCCTTCCCAGCCCTGCCACTAGCAGGCTGGGTGGTGAGCCTGAGAGTCTTGGGTAAGGCACTTCCCAGTCTGGGCCTCTGTTCTCTCATCTAGGACATAGGACACTGGACCAGATGCCTCTCCAAGGCCTACTCCAGTCTAGAGTCCAAGGTTATGGCTAGGTTCATAGGGAAAAAGCCTAAATCCACCCCACTCCTTCATTCCTTGAGGCTTTAAGACAGTACAGCCTCTCTGGGTTAGGGCTGGGTATGTATAGGCAGAGAAGAAGCCTGACAACCAAGCTCATTTCATAACCAGAGGGGCTCAGGGCCCATTTTTCAGAGTAAAAAGGTGGAAAGATATAAACAAGGTACTCAATACATTTGAGTTGTGCATCTGAATGAATGAAATCCATTTGTCAAATGAATGTATGTATGTGTCAAGCAGAGTCTCCTAGAGGAGCAGCCTTGTCTGGCACTATCAGAGTGAGAAGCCTCTTTGAGCAAACTTGGCAACATGTGCCCTCTGCCACGGTGCCATCAGCGAGGGAGAGGTGACAGCCCAATGGGCTAGGACAGCTACTCAGTGGTCTCTCAGCCAGGTAGAGCTGCTCTAGGTGAGAGGGTTCCTCGGGGCAGTGAGGACAGCCCGCCCCACAGGGGAGGAAGGAGATCACTCACCTGTAGTCAAACGAGCCATCCTCTTCTTTGGGGTCTTCAGGACCAAGGGGAACATCCTTCTTTTCTCGTACTTGGTCAATAAGAGAAGCAAAGACACAGAAACGATGATTAAGAAGAATACTCCCCAGCTCCCCAGGGCACTGCTGAATGTGGAGCCAGAAGTCACTGCTCTGGGCTCACTGACATTCTCCCTTTTAATAAGGCACTGTTGATGCCTTTCTTTTTCTTGCTTCCTGCACTTAATCAGTTGCCAAGCTGATTCTGCCCCTTTCTTATCCCTGGGGGTGGGTCTCTCTGTCTCTGTCTGTCTCTGTCTCTCTCTTTTAAGACAGAGTCTTGCTCTGTAGTACAAGCTGGAGTGAAGTGGTGCAATCATAGCTCACTGCAGCCTTCAACTCCTGGGCTCAAGCCTCCCGAGTAGCAGGGACTAAAGTACATGCCACCATGCCTCAGCTAATTAAAAAAATAAACATATTTTTGACAGACAAGGTCTTGCTGTGTTGCCCAGGCTCAAGTTATCTGCTGGCCTCAGCCTCCCGGAAGTGCTGGGATTACAGGTGTGTGCCCAGCCCCCCCAACCTTTACATCTCCGTTGACAACTGAAAACCTTCTCCCACTCAGCCTCCCACCACCTCTCCATGAAGTCAGACCAAAACACCAAATAGATGTCAATCATTTTCTTTGCCAAAGGCAAATAGTCCATTGTTTGCACCTTAAAATCTGCTGTATAGTAAACTTATTTGTGTACATTCCTTATGGTTGTAACAGAATGCCTGTTCTCTCCCTGGGGGTGGGGGATTGTGTGTTTCTTCAAAGCTCCCAGCAAAGTATCTTGGGCAGAGAGGACACATTATAGGATGAAAAGGGCTCTCCTATCTGTGACCTCCCTTGTAGGTGTGTCCCCTTCCCTGTGCCTCCTCTGTGATATAGAAGCATCCAGCTGAGGCCCTGTCTTGTGGTCATTCCTTCTGTGCCAGCTGCAGTGTCCTTGAGCAGGAACCCTCTTTCCTCTGGTACCGCAGCACACAGCACAGAGGTGGCATACAGCAGGCACCAACACGAAATATTCTTTATGTATCCTTTTTGAGGTACAAGGCAGGATAATCACCTCCCATTTTAGGTGAGAGAAACTGAGGCCTTCAGAGGTAAAGAACAGGTCATATAATTAATTAGTTACTGAATAAAGATTAGAGTGAAGACAAGAGCCCAGGCCTCATGGCTCCTGGTTCATTCATCTTTTTAACATCCCAGGGGCTTACCTTGTAGCTAGAGGGAAAGAGGTTAGCTTTGAAGAACTTTCTGGAATGGGATCCTTCCTGAATGGGCAAAGGAAGGCTCAGAGCCTATTTGATGAGTTCTTGTTCCAGTTCCACTTGGGACAGGGAGATGAACTCAAGTCTTAATGTAAGATGGACGTGGCCTTCTCCCTAACTCAGGGTTTCTCTCTTACAGAACAAAACAATCCCAACACAGCAAAGCAAAGTGAAAGAAAACATCTCTCATCAGCAAAAAAATTACAGTTTCCGGTTCTCCCTCACTTCAGTTGAGGCATAACTCTCAGAATCCTAGAGTCTGTGGGTACTTGGGCAGAGGGAAAGAAAATAGAATAGACTCTCCTCTCCATTTCCCTGTGTTGAGTTTTAGGGGGATCCTGGTAGAAGATTTGTTCTAAGAGGTGGGGAGAAGGAAGCATTTGGGGAGCGTGGGGTGTGTATGGTGATGGCTTTTGAGGGCAGGGAGCAATTCCATCTCCATTCCAGTCTGGTTTTTGCTCGCAGGGTCATCTATTATCCTGTCTCCTGTCACCCTACTCAGCCCATCGCAGACAGATGGCTCTCTTGCCCCTGTCTGAAAAACAATCAATATTTCCAGAAGCAAGAATGCCAGAGGTCCTCGTCCTTGACCTTGGTCTGTCTGGGCTGGAGGATTTTGAGGCCTACAGAAGAGAAATGCCTCTTTGGGATTCTAGGGAAGCCTGGAGCCCAAAGCCCTTTAGGACCATAGGGGTTGCTATCAGTGGCACCCACCCCCTGCCTCTTCCTGCTCCTCATGCAGGAGCTTCTGACCCTGTGAGAGGTGGCCGCGATTACACTCTCGTCCTGCTGAGAGCCTATCTCTGCTGCTGTCTCATGGTCGTGCTGCTTCTGTCTAGACCCTTCCTCTCCCCCATTCTCTTGGACATGGTTAGAGAAAAATGCCTTTCTTCCTTCCTCCTTCCCTGGGACATAGGGTCCTAATGAGATTCAGGCTGGAAAAAAAAAGGCCAATTTACTGAGCAGATGGGTGATGAGTCAGGGAGGAAAGCTCATTCTTAATAGAAGCCAGGGTTCCTTCCATCCCATCTCTGGAGTTGCCTGGACCATTCCATCCGCCCACCTCAGACGAACTTAATTAACTCAAGTACTTGCTGGCAGATCGAAGCAGCACAGGACAGGCAAGAGGACTGCATTTCCAAGCTTGGTAAGGGCTGGGTTCACTGAGAGAACAGAGTTTCTGGATCTGGCTGGGAACCTGGTGACCAATGGAAAGCTGGCTTGCCCTGTGCTCCAAGCCTACTCTGCTCACACGTCTCACCTGGGTACTTGCCGCCGCGACTCCTCTTGATGAAACAGACAATGAGCAGGATCAGCACCAGGAGGGCGATGGCGCACATGAGCCCAATGAACCAGCCTTGGGTGGCGATGTCTGCTTGGTTGTTGGTGTAAGCTGGCAGGGGAGGGTCGGAAGCAAACCCGTGAATTATTTCATGGGGAGGAGGCAGGGAGCGAAGTGTGAGGGAAGAACTTCAGCTATTTCACGTGGATGTTTCTCCTGGAGACTAATGCTACCACCTAGCAGCTCTCTGGCCCAAACTACCCCGCTAAAGGGACAAAAAGAAAATCATTAAAGAGCCAAGGTCAAAAGATTAGAAAAGAGGCAAAGGAGAGGGATACGGGGAGCAGGTAAGAAGCAGAAGGCTGAACAGGTCTTTTAGGAAGGGGAGAGTTTCTTAAGAACAAGGCATGGAATTCTTGCAAACCAAGTCGCTGGTCATAGCCTAGTGGGGACTGAGTGACGGCCAGGGGGTGGCCATGGAAGTACAATTTCCCATGGATGAACCCAGGGTGAATGCTACCCATCAGGGAGTGGGGGCCATGGCCACACTGCAAAAACCTGCTATACAAATGCCTTCACAGGCCTGCACAGGCACAGAGCAGTGTCCCTGCTGACCTGCATGGCTCCCAAATCAACTGGGCTTCCTGGCAATGGGTCCTGGATTGTTGGAGGTCCAGGATGCTTGTGTCCTTTCTTGCGTCCCCGGCTGGATCGTGTACTTCTTGACAGCAAAGACAATCCCGGCGTGGGGACTCCCAGCCAGGCCAGCAGTGATGATGGGGCTGGCTGTGCCTTCTGCTCACCCCATGCCACTTTCAGACTACTTCCACACAGGGAGGTTCCCCCTAGTGGTCTGTGAGAAGCTGACATGCCCCCACCTCCCCCGTGACAGTAAGTCCCTCTTTGTCCTTGCCTGGTGTGTGTGTAGACCTGTCTCAAGTGGGAGAGCCCTGTGCGATTTGAGGGGCACGCAGGTGGGCCTAAAGAACAGACCCTCAGAGTCACCTGATGGTATCATTGATGGCTCAGTGGCTGGGGTTTGGGAGGAGGTTGTGGTCAGGACCCACTTGTCCTTATCCTTTCTATGGGCTGGAGAAAAGCGACCCCTCCTGAAACACAGCCTGTTACGGAAAACGAAACTTGGAGAGGAAGCATCAGAGGAACAGGACACACCCAAAGTAGCCCTGGAGTTACCCAACACCCAGCAGCAGAGCCACACTACAGCGGGAGCCCCGAGAGCCCGTGGAGCTGGAGCCAAGGCACTGAGCCTACTCCCGGAGGAGGACAAGGAACAGCGTGAGCAACCCCGCTGCTCTGTGCTCCATTCTCATCACATGCCACTTGGTGGGCTGCAATTCATCCTTTACTCTTCTTGGGGGCAGAAACTGTTTATGCCCTTCCCAGTGCCCAGCCAAGGGCAATGCGCCAAGAAAGTTCTCAGTACGTGGTGAAGACTGATGAACAAATGCTCTCCACTGCCCAGGGCTACCTGGGCTGAAAAGCAATTGAGCCCACAAGAGCATAGCTTATGATTACTCTGATCTACATATGATACAGAGAAAAGCCCCATCCCTGCTCCCAATTCTGATCCCAGCAGGTCACCCCACACAGTGTCAGAGTGACCCTTCCAAAACCCCAGGCAGGACCAAACCACTTCCTTGCTTCAACCCTTCACAGCTTCTCATTGCGTTTGCAGACAACTCTATATTCTTACCCTCACCTGTCGGGCTCCATTAGAGCAGGCCCTGGCCACCTCTCTAGTCTTACCTCCCGCCCTCTCTCCTTCCCCTCAATGCTCTAGCCACAAGGTCTCTGCCTCTGCTATTCTTCAGCCGGCTGCCTTGGCAAATGTCACCTTCTTAGAAAGGCCTTCTCGGACATTCCCAGCCTAAACAAAGGCCCTTTCCCCCACCCCCACCCAGCCATGATCTATCTGAGGGCTCCAATTTATCTTCTTTCATAGCACTTATAACCACTTGATATATTATGACTACTAATAATTTACATGTATAAGCACTTCCCATGGGCCAGGCACTGTTCTAAGCACTTTCCTACACATTATCTAACTTAATCCCACACCTGATAACCACATAAGAGAGTTTTTGTCCCCACTTTACAGATGAGGAAACAGAGGCACAGTGACTTGCTCAAGGGCACAGAGCTGTAAGTGGTAGAGTTGGGATGTCACAGAGGTTGTCTGGTTCCAAAGTCTGTGCCCTTTTTCACTCCACTCTTATCCCTTCACCCAGAAGGTGTGCTCCCTGAGGGAGGGGCTGTGTCAGGTTGAGTGATGACTCCCTGGTGCTGGGAGCGGTGACAGGAGCAGAGCCTGGTATGAAAGCCCTCAATCCACATCTGCTTGGTGCTGAACCCTCAACAGCCTTCCCCTCATTCAGTCCATTCCCCTCTCTTGGTAATTACTGCATTTTTCTGCTCTTGCCACGGAGCCCTCCTGGAGGATAACAGACATAGATCCTGGCCTGGTACAGACTCAATGTCATATTTTCCGTGGACCGTTGCTGTCATCCAGTAACACTTCTATCCCCTCCCACCGCCCTTCCGGCCACCGCACTACTGTCCCTCCAGAACAGCTCCCTCCTTGCTCTGCTTCCATGTTTCTCTCTGCATCAGTGGCTGCGCTCACCTACTCCATGGGCACTCTGGAGATGCTGACACCGTGTCCCTTCCTCCTGGGTCAGAGCTAGGGTCTCCTCCCTCCTGAGTGGGACCCAGTGCCTCACTTCCTTGGTTCCTTGTTCCTATGAGGATCCCTGCACACCCCAGCATTTTCTGTTTCTCCTCTTTCCTGTCTCCTTCCCTCCTACTGTTAACCATGATGAAGCTGCCTGTGTTGACAACAAAGCTCCCTGAGGAATCCACCAGGCTTTTCAGCTCCAGCTTACGCATTGCCCCATCACAGGTAAACTTAGTTTCCATTGCCTCTAGTTCCTTCTTCACTCTCGCAAGCTGACTTCAAGCCTCTCTGTTGTTATCAGTGGTTCAGCTGCCATCACTGAGCGGGCCTCCCCGTGACCGACCTCTAGCTCCTTGACTCTCGTCACTGGTGACACTTTATTCGTCTCTGCTGTCCCTCCAGAACTGTAAGCCCTGAACATCCTCCTGACAGCTCTCCTTGGATGGCTGTGCTTGAATCTCAACCTGTGTCTTCCTGCCCTGCCCCCTTCCCTGGCTCTTCCAGCTCCCTCACCTCAGCCACAGGCCTTGCTATTCCCCCCATTTCCAAAAGCTGCCACTTCTCCTTCCAAAACGTCTCCTATATTCCCTCCATTCTATTCTAGGGCTTCCCTCACCTCAGCCTAGCAGGTCCCCCAGATACAATGAAACGTCGCTTTACCATGCTCCTAGGCATCTTCTATCATGTCACTACTTGCCTTTTGAAGGATGTGCCACTATTCCTTACGCCCTGTCACACTGGGCTCAGCTCCTCAGCCTGGCCTTTCAGGCACCCATCTTCCTTCCACGTGTCTTTCCCTCCCAGCCCAAGAGAGCCTGGGCGGTCACCCTTCTTGCTTGCCTGCTTTGCACATTCTACCTCCCTTCTTGAATCTCTGACTGCTCCAACTCACACCATTCTTAACTCTGATTTCACTCCCAGTCACTCCACGCAATGTAACATTTAATTGTTCTATTTCCTGGGTCCTGGTTTCCAATTATACTATTGAAGTCTTGGAAACAGGGAATTTTTTGAGGCCCCCAGTACTTTGCACAATGTTAGTTATGTAACAAGTAGTCAGTGACTACTTTTTTTTTTTTTTTAAAGAATAACACTTTCTTCTTCTTATTTTAGTATAATAGAGATGAGGTTTCATTTTGTTGTCCAGACTGGTCTTGAATTCCTGGGCTCAAGCAATCCTCCAACCTAGGCCTCCCAAAGTGCTAGGATTACAGGCATGAGCCACTGTGCCTGGTCAGTGACTACAAAGTAATTAATGAATCATTTAATCCTAACATAATATGGTTAACCTAGAATATCACTTTAGATTTTTCCCGATACCAGCTATGGGTTCATATGTATATTGGCTTGCCCATGTGCCGCATCTGGCATGAGGGAATTACTTCATCTTATGTTTGGAGAGTGGTGCCCACCTTTTCCAGGGAGGTTTGTTTGTACATCTGCAGCAACCTATTTGCACCGCCATCTTCCTGGTGCTTGTTCTGATACACTCTGACAGCTGTCTCTACAAGACTCCCTTTCTCTTGGGAAGTTAAGTCATAATTCCGGGAGAAAAGGGCCACATGGACAACTTAGAAAGCAAATGTGTGCTTGCATTCCTGACAGAACCAGGCAAAGTTCCAACGTTGTTTTCTGCCCTTACTGAAAAGGTCCAAGAATTTGCTGTGAAGTCTGGACTCAGAAGGCTATTCAAAACCAAGAGGGATCTGGGGTAAAGTGGGCTCAACCACACCCCATTGAGATGATTTAGTTTCTCAGGGACCAAAAGACATTTGGGACATAATGATCTCATTTATATGGTGACCCCATGACTTGGACTCTGAGAGGAAGGCATTTTAGCAAGGCTCCAGTGCAATTGCATTTGACTGCCAACACCATACTCAACCGATCAATTAAACTTGTTTCAGGATTCCTAGCAGACCCAGAAATATCAACAATCAAAGACCAGGGTGCGTTTACACTCACCACCTTCATCTGGAACCGACGGGGAGCCAGAACAGCATCCTCTTTTTGGGCCCACAGGCCTGGCTGACGTAGGCCCAAATGCCTCTTACTCTGGACTAGAGGCCATATTTTGTGTACCCCCACAGCACACTCTACAATTCCACTCAGAAACAGGCAACTCACTTGCAAAGCAGATAGTTCTGATGACTCCTAATTCAAGTTGGAGGAAATGTGATTTGCCCGTGGAAGAGAGGCCAGAGTCTGCAGAAGAATTACATTCTAGAAACGTGAACACTTATAACAGGGATGAACTTTCCCGACTACAATTTGTCTTGGTTGCTCTTACTATTTGACACTTCTCCATACCAGTCCTCTTTCCCAGTCCTGGGTTGACTGAAGAGATGTTTCACCCAAACACAGCAGAAGAGCCACAGTGACAGCTGGGTCACTGATGTCCCCCCTCCCGGCTCTTCTGAGGCCTGAGGCAGGCCGTTGCCTGACTGCTGGCCTACTGTCAGCATCCTGCTGCCTTAGCCCAACATGTCTCCCAGCACAGAAGAGCTGATGGGTCTTTTGGAATTCAGGGTTATGTGTTTACAGCTCCTCAGGTCTCTTTGGATTCAAAAAGCTTCAAAGAGGTGATTAACTGCCTATTGGACTCTTTCTGGTGAGGGTCAAAGAGACTGTTAGCCTTCCCAGTGGTTTCCTTCTATTTTCTTCCTGAGCCACTACAGCATGTTTGAGTCTGTGGGCTAAGACGATGGCCTGTGGTTGTCTAAATGACCAGTGGTTGAAGTCTAGAGATGCTCACAAATTCTTGCTTTGATAAAACACATGAATCTGGGGGACAGTGTGAACTTGGCTTTGGAGTCTGCCCACAGGAAAGACAGTGTGCATTTTTGAAGGACATGGACACAGGCTCACAGACTTAAGAAACTGAAAACATGTTTTCCCCCATGTGGTCCTCACATAGTAATTTCCATCCAGCCTGGGAGGGAAATAAGCAATATGGATTCAGAGCCAAGGTCACAAGCCTGCCCACTCCAGCTGGTACTGGGAGGTGTCTGGGAAGCCTTCTCAGGGCTGAGTGCTTCAATCACTGGGACAGCAAGCTATCAAAACCAGACTAAGCACAGGAAAAGAGAAATGAATATTTAAAGTATCATCACAAGCATCCACAGTATGGTGCTCTTCTACAGTGTGTGTTGAATTCCCTGAAGCAGATTAGAATACCCCTGAGGGCAGGGACTGTTTCCCCCCGCCCCCCTCTGGCTATCTATCCTCAACCCTCATCCACAGCCCCAGGGTTTAGCACTTGGAAATGTCAAATTCTGAAAGCAGGCTGCTCTGGCTTTGGCAGCATTCCCTAGGATGGAACTCCATTCTCAAATATCATCTTTGCTTCTTGCTGCTGTGCTGGACTCAAGTACGCCATGAAGCAAAATCAAATGCATGTGCTGATGAGCAACAGCTTGGGACCCCATCTAGGCCAGACAGAGTCCAGCCACCTGCTCTGCTTGGTCAACTGTCCAGTTGCCTTGCCTGGCTACCCTTGTAAGAGAACGACCTGGCCACTCACTTAGATGTCCTGCCTGAGTTGGCCTGGCTAGTCTCAAGCAGGGAGCCAGATCTCAGACTCCCTGAGTCTAGATGGCATGGAAATGTGCAGGACAGGCGGAGACACAGGGATAAGGACAGGATGCCGGGACCAGGAGGGACTAGACTAGGGGTGGGGTGAGAGAATTATTCAGATAGACCGTGATTCCCAAGATGCAAGCTACCAGGATCAGCCTGGCCAGGCGCATGAGGAGTAATGAATATTTAAGTCAACATTCAGAAGTTCATATAAATCACTGTTGTTTTTTTTCCTCCCACTCTACTGTGTGTCTAATGACCTGCATCTGATTGGGATATCCCTTGGGGGCAGGGACCAAGCCTTTTCCCTCTTAATCTCTTTCCCCCACCCTTACTCTTAGCCCCAGGGCTTAGCATACAGGCCACTTGGCAGCCTGCCTGGCTAATTTTAAAGCTACACACAGACACTCAGACAAGCAAGTGCCCTCACAGTCTCCAGACTGCCAGCCACCTCTACTAGCAGACTTTGAAACCTTGTACCCTTCACTGAGCCCCAGTTGGCCTATCTGGCACAATGAAGATGTTTCTCCCTCCACAGCTGAAGCCACTATACAGCCATATAGCCAGAACTATTCTAGAACTAGAGAGCTTTTCCCCCCTCTCCCTGCATGACAGTCACCTGCTTTTAGGCCAAGACAAACTTGGGACCAAAACAAAGCCCCAAACAAGTCGTGTGATTCATTTTGGAATTTTTAACAACAGATGACAGTGGCAAGATAGTAATATATAAGCAGATCCTTGGTTTGGTTCCTGGGGAGACTTCTGGATCAAGGTCCTATCCCCTAAACCCACCTAAAAGAAGCAAGCCCTGTGCACACGACAGGCTGCATTATTCTCTAGCAGCCCCCAGACCCACACACAGTGGTCAAGTTTGCACTAATATCAAGGCCTTTTGTTCTAGGCAGGGGCCACGCATTCGTTCTCATTATACAATCCTTTGTTTCCTTCTGACCCCTCTCACCCCACAGGGCCAGAATCACTGCTTCCTCTCCACTGTGCATGCACACTGGCTCCTCTTGGCTTCCCGGGAGCCTCAGACTGCCACAGAATAAGAGCTGGAACACGCCATGCAAGGTGGGGGGTGGGGTGGGGATGAGTCTTATTTCCAGGGAGAGAGACAAGCAGGAAGCTGAGAATGAGAATGAAATGCCCCATGCTTGTAGGGGATGGCCAGGCCAGATCCCCTCTCACCTGTACTGGTCATAAAGGTGATGACGGTACTGCTGATGCCCTCGTTGTCCCGGGAATAAACCCGCAACGTGTATGTCATCCCGGGAAAGAGGTCTGTCAGCTGTATAGGCTGAGCTTGGGCCTTAACAGGGACAGTTTTTTTCGTATGGTTGCCTGGGGAACAGAAACCTCAGTCAGCCTAGAGCCAGGCACTAGGAACTGGTAGAGACAGTGTTTAGGGTCCTGGTCACCTGTCAAAGGTAGAAAGGGTGGGGGAAGGGATCAGGGAACCGCAGGTTCAGTCCGCCACACAGACCAGGTTTTCAGGAAGCCCCTGTATGACTGTCCATGCAAGACTGATGCTCTTAAACGATGACCCTGCAGTCGAGGACACTGTTCCCTCTCCTGAAGTTCTCTTTCCTCACTTTAGATTTTCACACTAAACACAGAATGACCTACTTCCTTAAACTCTCAGCTAGTCCACGGATGCTCTGTTGCCCTGGAAGTGATAAGCTTCCCACGTGGGATCTTCCCAGTGAGGGTCAGAGAGCCAGTTAGCATCCCTCATGGTAAATGGAGATGAGATAGACTCTGCCTCGTGGCTCTCACCCCTGGTTTCAGCTCTCATTTCTTACCCTGTGGCGAATTCACACATCAGGAAAAGTGTGCGCCTGTGCATCTAGGCTGTGGGGTGAACAGTACCAGTAGAAAGCTGAAAAAGTATGAACCGAACTAGGAAGTCTGGATTCTGTGGATGTGAACTCCTCCTCCAGCCGCAGAGAACTAGGAGTTGGCTTTGCTCTTTCCTAAGAGATCTTTGGGTAGGCTAGCCCGGGTGCATTTTCTGGCTGGGTTAGTTAGCTGAATCGCTTGGAACATGTGCTAAAGAGGCCAAGATGGTGGGTTTGATCCCGTAGGAGAAGGGGTCTTCCCTCAGAGTCTAATGAGTCTGTGCCCTTGGTCCCAAGATCCAGTAAAGGGTGGACAGCTCAGCTCAAGCCACCAGGTGAGAAAAATGGCTCTGGTCTGTGGCCCTGACTGTGGCACTGGCACTCCTCTGGGAACAAAACACAATTGTAACCCAAGTCTGTAAACCGGCCCAGCCTGTGTAGTGGAGCCGTCAGTAGTACACATGGAGCCTGAGTTAAGGAGGTCCACACAGAGGTGAGGTTTGGCTCATTTGGGGGCTATTCAGAACCCTCATCCTGAGCAGGAAATGGATGAAGGGTCCACTACCCAGGTTCTTCACAGACATGCAACCCTAGTCCTTCACTAATGGCCTCAGAAGTCCCTTCCTCCTCCTCGAGCCTGCTCCTCCCACCTCACTGCCGCTGAGCGCATATCGATTTCATCAAGCTATGATTAAGCCAGGCTAAAAGGCCTCTCTGAGCCTGGGGGAGTTTACAGGATCTTTAATGGCATCTACCACTACCCGCCGCCACTGCTGCCGCCGCCGCCGCCACCACCCCGCACAGCAATGCTTACTGTCGATGTACTCAACCACAAAGTCAGTTCCGGGCCCGAAATTGTGCTTCCAGGTGATGTTGGCCCATTTACTGTTGGGGAGCACCGTGACGTTCCATATGGACTGCTCATCGGGGGCTGGTGGATGGGTTAGAAGAGGAGTTAGTGATGAGGAGGGAGCAGCACCAGAGACATGGAGACACACACACACGTACACACACATGCACACAAGCGCGTGCGTGCACGCCACACCAGCACACACACACACACCTACACACATGGTCACTTAGGAAAGGGTAGAGTCAGAAATGACTGTGCACAGGGCCTGACAGAGCTCCAAGCTGCAGCCTTAGTGGCCAGGCCAGAGGTCGCCATCCAGGAACAAGCAGGTGCAGTCAGGAAGACTTGTATGTGAGGGAGAGCTGGAAACCGTCTGTATGTCCACACAGATGGGGTTAGGAATGAAAGAGTGGGTTTTGATCCATGCCATTTGAGGCTCTACCATGGACTTAATTGCCTCTCCGGATTTCTTGTTATGGAATTGAACAGTGTAAGGAAAGAGTCCAGAGAAGAAGTGTCAGCCTCTTTCTCTTCAACCACAGAAGTGCTACAGGAAGGAGAGAGTTCTCTTTAAAAGCTAAGCAAGAGTCTTGATGAGATTTGCAGGAAAGACAGGACCAAATATGAGGAAACTTTAATGGGCTTTTGAAGCTGGAGGAGAAGAATGGTAATTCAGACAGGTGACCCTGTTCTAAGGAGTCCCGGGGTTGTTTTTGGTCAGGCAGAGCCTGGCTGATGTGTCAAACAGCCTCAGATTGCCTAAGGTGACTTGGGGCCTGGAGCCACAGGCTCCCAAGTAGAGACAGTATGAATCCTTCCTCTCTCTCATGGGCTAGGGAGGACGGAGAGAAGATAACGCCTTTTTGACAACCAGCCTCCAGTGGTCCAGACACCAGAAGAATCCTGTTCTGTTGGCTTCTCAGCACCTCCAAGTCTTTGAGGCTTGATCTCCACATGACACAGAACATTAATGATCTAGTTCCTATGAGCAGGGAGCTACTTTATCAAAGCCATGCGCTGTCTGAAACAATAGCCTGTGCACAGGAGAATGGCACTAATCTTCAATGTAATAATTTTTCAAGAGTCCCAGCAGTCTGATTACCCCATTTTCCAGCAAAGATTTAATAGTGGAGTACTAGCATGAAGCCCTGTATTTCAAAGACTTTACAAGTGTGGCTCCTGTATATTTTATTAGCATGCAAGGGTGCACTGTCACCAACTCACTTGTCAAAAATAAATGGAGTACATTGGTGATGCATTTATTCATTATCTATTTGACATGTGACTCGGTCTGCAGGGCTGGGGAAATGATAAAAGATTTCCTGGTTTTCACTTCAAAGAAGTGCCTTCTCCACCACAACCTTGTCAGGTGCTGGTTGCCCCAGGTGAATGATTCCCGTTAGTGAGAGGCCAAGAGTCCATCGATGGCACCACAGTGTATTCTCCATGGGAAGCGCAGAAGGTAGGCTTCTTACTTGTCTGTTAGATGTTCTAATTGTACTGGCTACTTTAAGCCACCCAAAATCCCAGCTCCTTGGAACTTACTGGCTCTTGCTAGCGGGAATGAATTATGGTTAGTCATGATTTGAGGACTTGAGTTTCTTCTTCATAGTTCTGAGCCCTGTAAATAGCTACAGAGTTTGTATTTAAGCAGTTTGACCACCAATACAATACTGACTCAAATCTGGCTGTCTTAAAGGGAATGAAGACTGGAATACTTTTAGAAAAGGTCAAGAGATGGGTGAACCAAAATGACTTGGAGGTGGAATAAAGCATTGCCACACAGAGAAATCAAGATGATGACCCGAAAGAACTGAAAAGTTCAAAGAGAATGATCAAAAAGGTGAGCTATCAATACCTAGAAACACAAAAAGGGTCAGTGAGGGGAAGCATGGATTGTCCCTCTGACTCCTGGAATGTAGAAATTAGGGAGCATCTCCTGAAATCTGAAAAAGACAAATTGAGGACAAATAATAAGGCCTATTTCACCCCGAGAAAAGCAAACTTATGAAACAATTTGTCCTAAGATGTAAGACATGATAAAGATGAAAATTCATTTTAAAAATCCTGGATAGCAGAGCCTTTCGGCCACATTAAGGAATGTGAGGATTTTGAGGAGTTTCTCAAGGTCTAGATAAGATCATGGCCATGGCCATGCCTTCCACAGTGTCTCAGATAGTTAGAACTTGGGGTTCTATAACTTGGGGCTGTGTCTAACAGTCTGTGGGGCTGCAAGGTCAATGTTTCCAGAAGGAAAGTAGCTTTTTGCTGAGGAGCAAGAGACCCTCCCTTTCTTCATCTTTTGTGCATCTTTTCCTGGGAACTCCAAACACTTGTAGGACACAAAGCCCCACTTTAATGGAAAAGATGCCTCACTGTGGCCCCAAAGAACACCAATCACCAACCCGCTGGTGGCAGCTTCTAATAGCCCAGCAGATTTCTCATCAGCCAGGTTTTTCCTAAAGTGCCTATTGTTTAAATTCCAGATTGCACCTGTAAAGCAAAGCAGTGTCTTCAGGGTCTGAGGTGCATCACATCAGCTGTGCATCACCTGTCTCCCCCGACAATTCACCAAACTCCATGTCATTGAGTTAAAAAAAATACTCACATATGCACTAAGCCTCCGTCCTCACTCAGGTGGCTGAGAAAAGTGGGACAGGGTGGGAGACAGAGGCCTCAGAAAGTGAAGGGACTTGCCCGTGAAACAGAGGTCATGATGGGTGGGGACCCATAATTCTACAGTCGTTGGAGGAAAGCTCCAGGCACTTCCTCCAGCCTTGCTGGCTGCTTCAAGCTGATTTTACAGCTGGCCTGCGAGCTCAGGAAGCTGGAGACCCTCCCCTTGGTGGTAATAAAAGACTGATGCTCAATGCTTAGTAGTATTGCTGAATTTCCCAGGGGTCTCCTCATGCTTGAAGAACAGAGCTTCCTGGCCTGGCTGCGTGATGTAGGAACAGCACATTCTCCTGGCTCAGCGGGCCAGCCCTGGGACTGATTCTTACCAGGGGCCCTGAGAATGAAAGCAATTTTCCCTCCATGTCTGCATTTGGGGACATAGGGAATGTGAGTGGGAAGAGTGATGGAACATCTTTGGGCCTTCAGGGACTCCTTGGCAATACCGTTTCCTGGGAGCTCCGACTTTAAGAGTCTGAGTGTTTTGGGGGGAAACGGGGGCAAGAAAAGAGCAGGGGTTCTGGAAACAGAGTTCCTGGCCTGGCCAGCCACTCCCTGCTCCTCAGCCTCGGTCCTGCTGAATACGGACATGGCTAGAGCAGGAAACTCTCTTGGGCCAGTGTCAGATCCTCTTTCCTTTCTCATACTCTCTCCCTGTCAGAGTGATCAGCCGTGGGCTGACTGACATGTAGTTGGAAGCAGTCCTGACATCTGGGACCTGGGGGTCCTGCCTGAAGAGTTTGACCCTTTGTTGAAGAACAGGGATCTGAGGCCAGAACAGGGGTACTGGCTGGCGGACCATCCAAGGAGTGCGTGCGTGCGTGTGGGCCTCAGACTGCAGGACTGAGGGTCCGGTCACGTGAGGTTCCTAAAGAGACACAGTGGGAGGTGTTGGTAAACACCTCCCCAGATCCCACCTCCTATCTGGGGACATGACTAGGGAGGCGGTCCAGGAGGGGAGCATGGGCGATGTGCAGTACCGGATTCGTGTATCTTAGTCCTGGAGGTGGTGGTGGGAGGACTCTCCGTGGTGGTGGTGGTGGCGGCAGTGGTTGTAGCAGTTGTGGCGACGGTGGTGGTGGTGGCGATGGTGGTAGGTGCGACAGTTGGGATGATGGGGACTGTTGTGGCTTCGATGGTGGCAGCAATGGCAGTAGCATCAGTACTGCTCACAGCGCCCGTCGCACCCGCGGTAGTCGGGGGCAACGTGGGAGGAGCTGAGAGGGAAATGTAAAACAGCCGAGTCTGGTTGGTTTGGCTATGTCCAGCCTGGCCGCACGGCCCCACGTGCAAGGCAGGCAGCCCGGTGAGGAGACGTAGCTTAGTCATCGGAAGCCTCCCCAAGCACCACGGACTAAGTCAGATGGATCACAGTGACAGGAGACACAGCCATGGGAAAGGAAGAGAATGAAGCCTGTGTGCGTTTCATTTTCTTCTCATGGTCTGTGTTGCTTGAAGCACCCAGCATGCACCCAGCCAAGGGCAAGGATGAGGATGGGAAGGGGGCACACGCGGAATCGCTCAGAGCCCACTGATGGCATGGAGTCCCAGGCCAAATGCCACTCAGACACAGGCCAAAGCAGTACCAGCTGGGTCCAGCCCTGGAGCCCGGGCCTTGAGATGGGCAGGCAGCTGGGGCCCTGTCCGGCAGGGGCACAGGGCAGCCTGCCATTCCCAACCACTCACTTCAAAATCACCCTGTGTCACATTTGCTTGAGCCCAAATGGTCACCCAGACCCAACAACAGGGAGGGAACAATCTCCACTCTGTGTGGTAAGCCTGCAGTCACCCCATCTGTACACGTCTCCCAGTTCTTGTCTCTTCTCATTCATTCTCCTGCCTCTACTCCCTCCCTCTCTCTGCTCTGCCCATTGGTGGCCCTTCCTGCAATTACTCCAATCCATCGCGACTTCAATAAGGGCCTTTCTCTCTAGGAAAACTGGGGTCCAGGCATTCCAAATCCCTTCTGGTCACATTAGAACACAGGAGAAGGGCACTGATGGAATCACTGTGTGGCCTGTGCTGGAGAGCACCATCTTCCCAGCCCACAGAAGGCAGAGAAGTCACAGGCCAAAAGTGAGGTCTTGCTGGGCTTTTTTCCAGCATAAATCCTCATCTGGACCAAAAGAATGGTTTAGATCTGGCCTAATCCTCTCATGTCTCCCATCTTTCATCCAAAGATACCCTTTCATTTGATCATCTCTGGGGCACTAAGTCTATACATGTGACAACTTTTTCATAGGCCTTCTTTCCTTCTATAGAAGGCCATGGAAGCTAACAAAAGGCTCCTTACTCTGTAGTTCCAATATTTGCTAAACTTAGAAAGTAAGAATGATGGGGAAAATCGGAGAGAGACAGAGCCACCTCTCCTCGCACTTCATCTCCTATGATCTGACCACAGTCCACTTTCTAATGTCAATTCTACTGGGGCATTAGGTAGGTCCTTAAGACATATGCAGGTAACTCTAAACTCCCAAGTTCGAGTTACTCTTCCTCAAACCACCAGAAGTTCAAGAAAATATTCCCCTGCCCAGTTCTCCCCCATGCTCCTCCACTGCAGACAGGAGGCTAGGTCAGGAAGCGATGCCAGAAAGAGAATTGCCGAGAGCTTTTCTCAGGGGAGAATGAAGTGATCCTAAGCCTTTCAACCAGAGCCTGACCAACAAAAGCCCTTTCATTCCTCTGGGTCTCCAACATTACAAGTCTCCCATAGAGAAGGAGGGAATGTTCCTGGCATCCCAGCCCTTTCCCACTTGTAAGATCAGAGGTGTTACTGGGCCCTGAGGGTGCTGACCACAGAAGTCACACTGGGCAACTAAGTATGCCCATATACATTCCAGAGATTCCTGGGCAAGTTTAAAGCCAACAATTCTATATTCCCCCAACCATAGTCAGCTTGTAGACATCACGAGGGAATGGGGAGGGGGGGGTGTGAGGGCAACTCTTTCTTCCATATTCCTTATTCAGGGTTGTATTCAGTCCAAGGTGGCCCCGGGCCTAAGATGTAAGGTCAGTGCTATAAGCACTCAGCATGAAGGAACTCACTTATCTTCACCCACCAGTGCGTGCACGCGCACATACACACACATGTGCACATACATGGAAAAGCCTGAGACCCACAAGGCAGAGGTCAGCTCTCCCAGGCCTAACCCCTGCAGTTTCCAAGGCCATGGACACACATGGGCTCTTTCTGCTGCTCTGAGCTCCTGGAAGGATCCTGAAGAAATTATTTTGTCTATCCAGGCAGGACCGCTCAGATTTAGTTCCTTATCAGTAGAATATTTTCTAATAATTTCTGGCACATGAAATGCTCACAGGGCACCCCTTTTGCATTCTAAGAGTCACCATTAGAAAACACCCCCTTTTAACTTGAATCATCATACACTGTGTATGGAGGGACCTGGGCTTTCCCTCCTGCAGCTATGGGGTTGTTACATTTCCCAAGTCCCCTACATCCAGGTCAATCTTCCTCAAAGCTATATGCACTCTCATGTGGCCCCTGGGCCCTTGTACACGCAGAGACACACTCACACTGAGTCATAGCTGGGGCCACACGTGTGCAGGGTGCTCTAGCAAGTAGTCCAGGGGACAGAGATGCTGAGAGAGGCCAGGTGACAGCTTTTTCTTCACCTAGCCCCAAGGGGCAGGGGCAAGGATGAGAAATGGCTTCCACACCACACTGTAACTTCTCCCTATGGTCACTTCGACCAAGCATGGCAGGAAGGAAGTGTTTCTCTCTGACAGTGGCAACCTCTAGTTGCTTCTCTCTGGCTGATGAGAGACGGTGAGAGGAGCCCCTTTCCAGGTAGCTTCCCCAGGGCATCAGTCATTGAAGTTACCATGGAGGACACAACCTCAGCTCGCTGAGGTCACTGCTGGAAAATCAGTTTATTTTCCCAAGGATAGGCAGGGCCACCAGTGTGACAGGGAGGACAGAGGACAGAAGGAAAGACTCCAAGGGAAGGCACATGAGTCAGGTGAATGGGCTATCAGAGGGCTGGTACAGGTGGGAGAGAGAAGACAAATTTTCTGTGGGGAAAACTGTCCATCACTCAGGTAACAGGAGATTCCGATGATCTGAATCTGAATTGGGGCTGAGTTGGGGCAGAGGATAGACGGGCAACAAAGCACAGAAGTAGGGCTTATAGAAGGGACCACAGGCAAGGCAGACAGGCTACTGGGCCAGAATGCCATTTCTAGCCACATTAGGAACTATGGTCTCAGAAATAATCCTGGTCGGTGCTTGCTGGAGACCACCGGATTGGCAACTGAGAGGAGAGGACAGGGACCTTCCATTACCTAAGGGGGATCCTGGGTAGGTTAGAGCTAGAAGCATGGGGTACCTGCTGGAAGGCAGTGCCAACCTTACAGGTTACCTAATGCACACTGGAGGGCACCCCAGCCACAGTCTATGGTTTTCCAGGAGAGTTGCAGGGAGCACCATGGAGGAGATGGAGAACACTGAGGAGAAATAATATGTCTCATTCATCCTTCTGTCCTCAGAATGTACCATGGAGCTGGACACCTATTGGGAACCCAGCCAAGCATATGCAGATCTAAGCTGAGTCGAAGATGAGGACAGAAGTTTCTGGACATTCCAAGGTGGAAGGTTCAGTGAAAATGTCCACATGGCGCATGGACTTTTCCGGCCAAATCACAGATTGTCAGACAGATGGGCAGCAATCCTGAGAGACTGCAGATACAGGTGGATGAGAGGGATTATCTTCACTGGGTGAGATACAAACAGATCAGTTTGAGGAAAGAGCCCAGGTTTGGAGAGGACGAGAGGGAAGAGAGCAGGGGGCTGGACACTGGGCCCACGTCAAACATGGAACCTGAGCTCTGTTGCTTGGCACCTGCACATTGTGCCGAAGGTTCAATGCTGAGAACAGCTGATGTTATCAGCACATCTTATTTCCAAAAAGTGCAGTCTGCCTCTACCACCATGTCACGTGGAAGCTGGAGCCTAGGAAACTCATTTGATTGACGGACAGAGACCCTGAGCTCACTCTGCATAACATGATGAGTTTGGATCTTTCCTAAACGGGAAGTAGGAAGTGGGTGTTTGGAACAACACCTCTTATCCACTCATGAGAGGGGTGGCAGGGCTGGCACAGATGCCCACTGAACAAGGTAGATTCCCTGCCGCAGACCCACCTGCCTTGGGCCCCAGGGTGCCAGAGTGGAGTAGGTGGACGGCGGGTCTGCTTTACCAATGAACTTCTACCCGATTCGCCTGGTGCCCTCCCTGCATCGCCCCTCAGTCACAGGAGAGGCTGTTATATAAACTCGAACCAGGAAGTCAGGGGAACTCCCCACGTGGCAACAATGGCTCTCTCTCTGGCTCCCAAACCCAGGACAAACCTCTCTCCCTCACATCCTTGCAGGGGTGTTCAAACTCTGTGGGGAGATACTGGGTCGGCTGGCCTGGGTTCCTAGGGATGGGGGTAGTGGAGAGGACCAGGGGAGAGAAAGATGGTGGTAGGTCACCACCCACAGCTCTGGCTGCAAAACACACAAAAGCTGAAGGAAGCAGGGTACGCAACAGAAACAGAATCAACCCAGGGTGGGCGTGGAGGATCAATGAGGGAAGATGGGGGAAAAACCAAGCTGGGCAGGGTGGCATCCTCCCTCTAAGTTCACCCTTAGAATCCTTGCCTGTTCTCAGCCCTACCCAGCTGCCTGGAGCTTAAGGAGGCTCTGGTGAGCCCTTGCTCACAGACTTTGTACTGCCAGAGTGAGGCCTGCTCTCATTTCCTGCCTAATGTGGTTCAGGCTCAGAAGAGGGCTGGGAAGGGAACCCTGAGGACCCCTGCCCAGTTTCTCCAACTTGGGAACAGAACTTCTGTGGCGAAGAGTCCCTGGATAGTCCTCTAGCCCATGATGTGAGGACAAGAGAGGAAGAACTTGGTTAGCCGGTCACCCCCTGAGCCAGGACCTGCCCACCCAGAGCCTCACTTCTGCTGTATATCTACCTCCCCAACCCCGAGAGTGGAGACTGTTCTTAACACTGAAGACTTTGTGAAGCTGAGTTTCTGAAGGGTGAGGAGGTAATCAGCCCACAGAGCCCACGGAGACTCCAGGTCCTGGAGCCCCTGGCCCTATCTGAGGACATGCTTGCTTGTTCTTACCGACTGGAACCCACGGTCATGGGCAGAGTGGGTGCCGGGACCCCATGCAGCATGCACGACCAGCATGCACAGCACGCTCACCCTTTCAGGGGATGGCAGACCAGTCAGGAGCCACTGTTCCTGCCCCCACTGCAGCATGCCTTCTAGGGCCACAGCTGGCCGCCTGAAGGCTGCAGATACTCTGTGCTCTGAGATGTCAAGCCTAGGGAGGGCTCAGGTGGTTCACGGGAAGTAATCTACTCAGTGTCAGAAAAAACTGCAGCTCCAGAGAGCGGGTCAGGCGCCCATGTGTGGGGGACCCCTTCTGAACCATCCTTCTCAGCAGGGGGCAAATAGCAAGCAAACAGGGAGAACAGGCTTGATCTCCTCCGGCCCCTTCCTCCTGGACAGTCTGGCTTCCCCGCCCCTGAAAGGGTGAGTCTGGAGCATGCCTTCAGCCCGAGTCTCTCCCTCCTCATTCGCCCTAGCTGGGCTGGGCTCCACCTGTGATGCCCCATGCCATGCCCATTACCTCCGCTGCTGGTACGGTACCTGCGGTTGGAGTAGCTTCAGAACACAGCACCCAAGATGGCCAGAAAGAGGGAGAAAGGGTGAGATAGGGAAGAGAAAACAGAGCACAAGTGAAACCACAGGACAAGCAAGCAGAGATGGTTCCAGCCCAAACCTGATGCAGATGGTGTGGCCAGGTGCTGGCTGTAGCCCTGAGGATGCCAACTGGCATTTGGGGGTCATGGTCAACTCTACTGGAGTCAGGCATGATCTTATAGGAAGTTTTCCAGCTGTATCTCGAAGACCCTTCTAATACACTCTTTTTACCTCTATTAAAGGTTATCTAAGAGGTGGCAGCAGAGACCATCTACCCAGAGTACTACATTCCCAGCTCTTTCCCTGATGGCATGTCCTGCCTGGCTAGGTTGGCATGGTCGTTAAGAAAGTTGGGTGACCCTCCACGATGCCAAAAATTGAGGGTATAAGGTGTAGGTGGTGTGGGATACCGGCCCCAGTCAAGAGAATAGTTCCTGTATCTTCAGGGGAAGATGCTGGATAGTGTATGGATAGATAGGAGAGGGGCATTTTTGACTGCCCCTGACTCCCACCATCACTATCACAGCCTTGGAAGGTCAGCAACGTTGAAGAATAAAGCCTGAAGCCCCTGTCCTGGTATTCTATGGCCCCAATTCTTTCCCACCAGATTTTATGAAATTGGAAACCCAAGTATGGACTGAGAGCCCTACATGGAATTCCTGAATTTTCTGCAAATCCCTAAGTTAAGAAGAAAGTCTCTCTTTGTCTTCTAGTCCCCTGGAGCCACAGGAGTTTCCCTGTGGTGGCCGCTAGGGCTGGACAATGGGGCTTTGTTTCTCTGATGCTCTGTACTGGGGTGGAGATATGGAGTGCCAGGGGGTTGGAAGAGGGCACCAGGGGAGCTTGTTATGTGACTCACTCTTGGTTTATAAGACTTGAGAGGGATGTAGAGAAGATTGTCATGTCATCCAGCTTCTGTGCAGGCCCTCTTTCTTCACTGCAGTGCTGGCCGGCTGGCCAGGGAAGGTGGACCAGGAGAGATGGGGGGCTACTTACAAAGCTGCATTGGGAGCCCGGAGTGAGGCAGCAGGACCTGGCAGCCCCAGCGACGGAAGCACTGAGGCTTTCCTGGGAGGCAAGTGGGGATGGTGCTTAGGAGACCCCACTTGGACCAGGGTCAGGCCATGGGACTGAGCCTTCTGAGAGAAAACACTAAACACTATAACGTGTTGTCAGCCTCAAGGACACCTATTCACATCACCTCTTCTTTGGAGTCTTCCCTTTACACTCCCCTCATTCATTCATTCATTCATTCATTTTTATTTCAGAGACAGGGTCTTGCTCTGTTGCCTAGGATGGACTGCAGCGGCACAATCATGGCTCATTGCCGCCTCAAACTCCTGGATTCAAAAGATCCTCCCACCTCACCCTCCTGATAAGCTGAATCTACAGTTGCATGCTACTAGGCCTGGTTGGTTTAAAAAAATTCTTTTTGTAGAGGTCTTTGTTGCCCAGGCTGGTCTTGAACTCCTTGGTGGTCCTCCTGCCTTGATCTCCCAAAGCACTGGGATTAGAGGCATGAGTCACTGTGCTTGGCCTGCTGCCCTCATTTAGACACACAGTTTGATATTCTTATGGATATCTCCCCTTCTAGACGGTGTGAGCTTCTTAGACTGGCACCTCACATTGTGGATGCTCAAAAATGGCTGTTGAATAGACCACTGTACCCCTGGAGAGGCAGAGAGGTTCCCAATTTTTTTTTTTTTTTGAGTTGGAGTCTCACTCTGTCACCCAGACTGGAGTGCAGTGGCACACTCCTGGCCACGGCAGCCTCGACCTGCTGGGCTCCGGCGATCCTTCCGCCTCAGCCTTCCAAGTAGCTGGAACTACAGGCTCGCGCTACCACGCCCGGCTAATTTCTGATTTATTGTAGAGATGAGGTCTCGCCAAGTTGCCCAGGCGGGTCTCGAACCCGCGGGCTCAGGCAATCCACTCACCTCAGCCTCCCAAAGTGCGGGATTACAGGCTGAGCCACCGAACCTGGCTGGTGCCCGACTTTTCACGAGGGTCTGCCAATATTGAAGCTTTTGCAGTTTCGAATCCCAGAGAGGGTCCTGAATTGCACATCCCTACTGAAGCCAGTCTATGGGCAGCTGTGCCTGGAGCTCCCTCTAGTGGAGCCCTAAGGCAGGCGCAGCTCCAGCAGAGAAGGAACCGCTGCTGAAGATGCCTGGACCCAGCAGATGAACTTGCTCCTTGTGAAGCTGGCTTGGCAAATGGCTGTTTCTCACTCCTCTTCCCCTCCGCAGCCTGTCAACTCCCCGATTCAGGTTGCAAGGAGGGACCACATTCTCTGCTTTACACATGGTTCCAGCAAGCAAGCGTCAATGATGATGGTTTCCCTACCTTCTTGATCCTATGTGCCTTAGGAAAAAGAAGAGCTGTCCCTGGGACCCTCAGCGGTCAGTCTCAATCCTATTCTTGCCTGTCTCAATAGGTGATCACTTTCGCTATTCTTTGGAATTCACTGGCATATTTACGAGGGGGGAGCCCCCCCAAAACCCCCATGGAATTATCTTTTGGAGGGCAGGGCCCTTGTAGTACACTTGGAATTTGGTTCTCTGGAGCAAATGGTCAACCAAATTTTTTATCTGGAAGTTTTGAGAAGGTTGCATCATGATTTTTGGGAGAAGTGTCCCAAGTTGTGGCAAACAGGTGACTGGTTCTTCCACCGTGACAACACACCTGCCCACACCACGCCAAGTGTTCGCCAGTTTTTAACCCAAAACAGCATGACCCCTGTGTCCCACCCTCCTTATTCACCCAATCTTTCCCCGAGTGACTTTTTTTGTTTCTCTGGATAAAAAAAGTCTTCAGAAGGAAACACTATACCCATGTAGAAGAGGTGAAACAAAAATAGCAGAAGCACTAAAAGGCATCAGCACTGACAAATTCAAAAATGATTTTGAGCAATGGGAAAAGTGCCTCGATAGGTGTATTGCGTCAAATGGAGAGTACTTTGAAGGTGACAAGTTTAAACATGTCAGAATAAATACACAATTTTTAAATAAAAGCATTCCAGGTCTCTTTTGGGTCCCCCATCATACTTCCAAAATGCTTTCTCTCAACTCTTGCTCGCTTTCTTATTCCTCTACAGAAATAAGATGCTAAGTAGCTGAGCAAATCAAGGCAAAGTGGAGACCCCAGGTCTGACCACAGCAGTTATAAGATCTGAGATACGATGCCAGTACCTACCTCTCAGAACATAAGCCAGGTTCTCTGCTATTAAGAGCGTGAGGGCTTGCAGCCTCATTTCCTGTCCACCCCAGGAGGCAAGTTACCACTCTGTGTGTTGCTCTAGGCCATCTGAATGAGCTGGGGCCTTTCACCCCAGGGGCTGCCGCCATGTGCCTACCTTCATTTGGGGGTGCCGGAGACTCCTCTGTGACTGCTTCCCCAGAGCCCACCTGCGTTCTGGCACTGAGGGTGAAGCGGTAGCGTGACACGGGGTCTGCTCTCTGCACTGTAAACTTGGTCTGATTAGGAGAGAAGTTTTCCACTGTCGGCTTTCCTACTTTGGTTCCATTAACTGGGGAGAGAGGTAAGTGGAATTAAACTTCAGCAACATGTTATATAATCTGTAGGGAGAAGGAGAACATCTTCCTGGCTCTGCTGGAAGGGGAAATGATCATGCTGCTTAGTGATCTTTAAGGCTTGGTTCAAAGGCAGAGCACTGGGCAAAACCTCCCTCCTGGCTCTTTGATTAGACCACAGGGTTAATACTTTTTCACAGATCCCACTGCCTTTAGCTCCCTGCCAAGTTATGTGGCTGATTCCAAACTATTCATTTTATGTTTCCCAAACTCTTTCAACGAGTTCCTGTCTTTTTTTCAAACAGAACTAGGGCAACACCACTAGGGCTTTTGATTGTTAACACATCCTTTGTAAAAGGCCTATTCAGTAGGTGAAGGGGTCAGATCGAGATATTCAGAATAGCATACAAGCATACAGTTGGCTATTAAAACTGTTAACAACACAACACCTGTCCAGTTGAGCTTCCCACTGCCTACTTTAGAAGGCTTCAAGTGTTTCACATGTAATGATACTCCTGTTCCTGCATGGTGATGCTAAGCTCTTGAGGCGAGGCCTTTCCATCCCAGGCTCCTGATTTGAGTCACTCCATGGTCACTTGGCAGCGCTACATACAGCTGCCTTGTCATGAATGACATCTTTTTAAGGTGTCTCCTGACCACCCGAGGACTTCTGTGCACATACTGTCTGCCCCATCAGATGGCAACTCCATTGGGTGAGGAACTCTCTCTCCTAGACTGGTAGGTGCTGGAGACTAAAAGATTCCTAAAGGCCATGGTTGTCTCCCTCATTAGACTGAAGTTCTCGTCATTTCACCCATTAGACTAGAAACTCCCTGCAGGCAGACCCACGTAAGAAGAGCAGGAGAGTTGGGCCTCACTTGCCTCCCCTAATCCCATGGGGAATGTTTTCTTTGGCTCCTCCATCCCACCACAGTGCCCTCTGCACCCATAGGCTTTCTACCTCAATTCCTTAGGAAAAGTGGTGAGAATGGGGTTTTTGGTTCCCAGATTCTCTAAGCGCAAGAGAAGGGCAACGTACAGGCCACGTATCTGAGAGTGTATCCAGTCATGATCCCATTGGGGTGTTCCGGATGATCCCATTCCAGGGTGATTGTCTCCAGGTTGGGCTGCCGGACTCGGAAACGTCTGGGGGCGCTGGGTACTTGGGGAAGGAGGAGAGAGCAGGGTAGATGTGGGGAGGGGAACAGAGAGAATGAGGAAAACACACAAAAAAAACAAAGCACAAGTATGAAGGCATTGACCTCTGGGCAACCCTCATGCTGGGTGCTGCTAAACCAGAACCCAGGAGAACCATGAGGTGTCCAGAGCCCACCGCCCCATCCAGGATGTTGTTTCCTCCAGGTTTGAGGACAAGTATGGCTCAGACTCTGCTATTTAGATGGGAAAGAAGTAAATCAAAATTTCCTTTAGCAACTACCCTGGATTCAGCACACATTAGGCTTGGATTCTGCAGATCCCTCCAAATCGGGCAGCGCCATTCCTAGGCAGGGAACCACGTATAGCTGTTTTGTACAGAGGCTGCAGTTCCTGATCCTCACAAGGATTTTCACCACTGGGTCCAGGCAGCAAGCCCAGGCTCCTGAGCTGAGAATGATGGGTTCAGGGGTGAGGAGAAGCAGCCCAGGATGGAACACCTGGCAAGGATGGAGAGCAGGAGTGGTGGGGAAAGCCGAAGATGAAAATCAAACCAAGGGGGAGGGAAGGACAGGAACAGAGAAAACAAGAGGAAAGAACAAGGAAAGGAGGCAGGAGAAAGAGAAAAAATAAAGGAAAGGAGGCAGGAGAGACAACAGTGAAGAAGGGAGGGAGGAAAAACAGAAGAGAGCACTGCAAATGCAAAGCAGATACTAGAATATTGGCAAGGACAAGGAGATGGACAGGAACCGTGTGGGCAACTGCACCCTAGGACCAGATCCAACCATAAACCTGCAGGAGGCAGAGGCTGCATCCAGGCCTCCCTCTGCAGAGCCGCCACACACTCAGGCTGCCTATCACGTGGTCGCATCTTAACATGGGGAGAGAACTGTGAAGGTCTCAGATGCTGGTCAATGAATCAGATGGCTCCAGGCGGTCAAGAAGAACATCCCGCCCTCTGCCTCAGGAGGTGGTGGGGTAGCCCAGACACCTGCAGTGCCCTAGGGGGTCCGTCCACACAGGCCGTTTGGCATCACGTCAGTAGACTACACAGGTCTTCTCTTGACACACGACATCCCATCAGGGCAGGTCACTTTGGCAATGGCGCTCTGTGGGGATGGCTGCAGCAGCTCCGCTTGAAGGTCAGCAGCTCCTTGAAGCATCACCGTGGTCACTTTGTGCCGTCCACACGGAATCACGCTGGAGCTGCTCCAGGCCCGTGGGTGCGGGCTCCCCTTGTCCTGCCCCACCCTGAAGAGCTATGGGCTAGACCTACCTCCTTCCGGGGTGGTGAACTCCTTCGTTTCACTGCGAGGCCCATCGCCTCTGCCGTTGACCACAACCATCTCCAGCTTGTAGTTACTATAGGGGAAGAGGCGGGACACCACGCCATGGAGGCGGTCACCAGGGAAGCTGGCTTGCTGTCTCTTCTGAGACACCCATAGGTTCTTCAGCAAGCTGCTCTCCCTCCAGTAGTAGGCCTTCGGGACAGAGGCAGGTTGGTGAGGGGTCAGGCAGGCACAGCTGGGTTAGTTGTTAGTGTTGGTGGTAGTGACTGGTCTTTCCTTTGCTTGCTACAGGCTTCAAATGACAATGGACCTCATCAGTCCCACACAGGGCCGGGGAGCAGGCTTAGGGTCTCCATTCATTAGACACTAGTCGAATATAAATTGATGCCAAGCAAGGAATAGGGGTTTTGGTTCCAATCATTTTTTTGATCCATGCCACCTCTTTGAGGAACAGGTGAGTTGGCCAAACTTACATCTGAGCTGGTCCATCATGAGACTTATTTCCAAGGTGGGTACCGGGTTGCTCAGGGTGTCCATGCCAGACCACAAATGTGAGCCAATGGTCCAGGTATGGAAAGCTCTGCTTTATGCTCAAAGACTACATCACCTTGAATTAGATTAGTATGGTTTAGATAGGCAGCAGGCAGGAGTTGAAAAGTAGCAGGCTGCCCCCAGAAGTCTTAATATGTGAAACGGCTGATTTAATTCTTTGAAGTAAAAAAATTTTTTTTGGTATTGTTTGAAGATCTTTAGGGATGAGACAGACACACGTTCTAGACAGTCACATGGTCAAGTCAGTGGGATGCAAGCTGTACAGTGGCAGAGATTGGATGGGATGAGATGACCATGGAAGGTGGTGGTATTGCAGGGGACAGAGAAGTGAGTTTGCAACATGAAGTCAATTAGCAGTGGGTAAGAAGCCACCGGCTAGGCTGCCATGCCAGTGTCTTCCAGGCTACCCATGGCAAGGGAATAAGTCCAGACTAAGAGGGGGACCCAATGGGAGCTTTAGCCAGAAAAATCCCCAGGCAAGTAGTTAAGGGAGCAAGTCAACTCTTGGGGAAGAGCTCATTCAAGTGCACACATCATCTTGCCATCCTTCCCCTACTTGCCAAATTCATCTCCCAAGAAGAGACTGGCCCCTTCCGTTCTGCCCCCAACTGTCCATCAGCCAACTCTTGATGATCCCTGAAGCCACAGAACCTGCGTGAATCAGGGTTACAGCCTCCCTCACTTCCCAGCCACTTTTTCAATAGAGCTACTCACAAGAGAGAGCTTTGTATAGCCTGAATATTCTCTCCCTTCTTCGCATTTCAGCTGACCCTTTCAAAGAGGGGAAATGACTGAGCAGAAACTGCTCAGGGGCAGGGAGGACCAGAAGCAAGGGCTCTGAAAATCCACATGCAGGGTCACCTGGAGCTGGCTGTGACAACAGGAAGGACATCATCACCCTTTCAGGGACTTTGCCTATTAGTTGTGGCTTTAAGAAGCCAGAGTGGGTGAAGCAAGCAGCATAGTAGGGGCCACTAGGAGAGGGGAGGGGTGTAGCTCAGCGAAGCCTCAACACTGCTCCTGGAGATGTGTGTGTGTTCACTCACACGTGTATTACAAATGCAATGTGCTGTGCATCACCAACCCAGACCCACTGCCCTTCATGTGCTCTGTTGCTGAGCAGAATCTCTCAGCAGATCCGTTGCAGGACACATCTGGGCGTATACATATTTTAGGGGTATAATTTTGAACAGCTAGCCCTAGACATCATCTTCTTGAATCAACTCTGGATCTAATAAATATCCCCAGGATCCCTTCCAAATATCCCATCTCCAGCATCTGCTACCCCCTGGCCCTGGTTAGTGAGCTGGTGGTTAGGCGGGTCGGGAGCTGGCTTCCTCACTCGGTACTCTCTGAGCTGGCCCTGGACTGTGTCGGCATAGACGCGGTTCCACTGAAGGTTGATGGCTGTGCTGTTCATGACTCGAATTTTAACTTCAGTGGGTGCGGCCCTGGGATCTGCAATGTGTTGGGACAGAGAACTGGTTATGCAGGCAGGGCTGACCCCTGACTCCAGGATCCCTTCTGACTTGTTTTCTGCTGGCCTATACCTCCTCTCCACTCAATACTGGTTACTCCATGAGAACGGGAACCATGTCTTCTCCATCAGATTGTACTGGAAAAAGTGTGTGTGTGTGTGTGTGTGTGTGTGTGTGTGTGAGGGGGAGAGGCTCAGGATGAAAGGGTGATAGTCCATGTGGGAATGACTCTGCCTGTATGTTTATAGGGCAATTATTTGCTGCTTTCCTGTGCTGAGTGGCTTCCACTTGCCCATCCATTCATGCTCCACCCTTTCCTACTCTGCTCCATGTCCCGGGAAGCTGCCTGCTCTGGACCTCATCAGCTGGGCTCCCTTGTTCTCAGGCTCCTGGAAGGGTCTGGCCAATAGGAGGTGCCAACAGGAGATCCTGGGGCAGGAGGAGAGGGAGGGTGGGTATCAATTCCCCTGGCTTCCTCTTGACTGGCCTACAGGTTGACATCCATGCCCTCTTCTGCCCAAGGCCACAGCTCCTGAGGGTGGTCCTTGTGGGTTATAGTGACTCATCCATCCCCTGCCCATCAAGGCTCAGGGTGGTACAGTGGCTTCCTGCTGCTGCCAGCCCTCAGGGGGCAGGAGGATCACATACCTTGCTGTTTCCCCTCTCACCCTGTCCACATGCTATAAATAGACACTTTTTTCTGAGAGTGCATCTGTTTCCTGCCAGGATCCAGCAAGAAACATTACCCACAGATTGAAGATGCCCTAACCTAGTTCAGGAAGTAATCCGGATCCTGCAACTACCTGGAAAGGGAAAGCTACTCCATCCCCCTGACTGATTTTTGTCCCCCTTTTCTCTACTCTGCTGCAAAAGCAGCTCTGCCCCATCCCCTCTAATCTGCAAGAGCACAGGCTCCAGGGGTAGAGGCATGCCACGGAAACAGTGGGCCAGTCTGTGAAGTCTGTGACCAGATGCTGCCTCTCCCACACTTACCATCTGGTAGTCCCCATCAGTCTCCTGTCCAGAAGCGTCCATCACCATGGAGGTGAGGATAGGGATGGACAGAGGGCCTGCTGATCCTTCTGCTCATATCTCTCATGAGTCCAATCCATAATGATCTCCAGGAAAGCGGGTCACAGGGTTCAGCCCTCACTTCTTCCATCTCACCATTATGAACACCACTGGCCCTACTCTTGACCCACACAATCCCTTCTGAGTCTACTCCTCCCCAAGCCCATCCTCCTCCCTTCTGTCTGCTTGCCCCGTCCACCTACATGATCTCTTCTTAGCTCAGATCCAGACCCCACAGAGCATGATGCCCTGAGCCAGGAGGGAACTCCCTCGACCCTTCTGCTTTGCTCAGCAGCCTACGAGATTGCTGTGCTGGGCAGAGACAGGTCACCACCATCTAGGAAGCCAGGCACGTACATCCACATAGATGACAGAATCTTGTTGCTTTACTCAGTGCCAGCCACCAAAGACCTTCTCTTTTTATACTTAATTCCAGGGGCTGAAGGCAGCAGGGGGAACACTGGCCATAGCTGGCCTGGAGTATTCCGGTCTAGTGCTCCGAAGACTCTCTATATCCTTCAAGGCTTCCCCTGGGGATCCTGCAGGGTGGCTCTGCTTCCTGTGGAGGTGTCTAATTATAGCTCTTTGGGATGAGCAGTCCTGAGGTCTCCCTTGGTCTAGTACGGCTTGGCAGTAAAGTAGCTTGCCTGGGACCTCAAGTCCTGGGCTCTGTTTTTAAGTCTGATATTTACTATGATGTTATGTTGCCAAGGGTTTTCCCTGTCCGGGCCCCCGTTTTCAAATCTGCAGAATGAGAGTACTGGACTAGGTGATGATGACATTCAGTAATTCTAACTAGTGTTCAGATGATAATGCTTCCACTCCTGTTGTTATCAGGTGCCTGTCTACTCTAGGTCACTACAGGGGATTTATCTTTCCTGGGAACTGGGTGTCCTCCCACAACCTGCCCCAACCTTCCCAGCCCATGAGAGAGTGGTCTTGTGTGGCCTAGCCACTTGGGTCCTGGCTGGCGGACAAGGTAGGGGTGGCTACTCACAATCTTCTCCGGAGTAACCAATGATAGTTTCTGGCTCAGGGCCCTTCCCAAAGTCATTTTCGGCCTGGACTTGGATCTCGTAGGGCACGTAGACAGGGGTCTGCCCCACCACGTAGCGAGAGCCCCACACTGTGACGTTGTTCCAAGTCTCTCGAGTCTCTCTCCGCCGCCACTTGACGATGTAACGCAGGTTGGGCCCAAAGGCCGAGGTGGCATTCATGGGCTGGGCAGAGAGGGGCAGACATGGTGAAGGGGAAACAGGCAAGGGTCCCGGACACGCCCACAGCTGGCCCTCCCTTCCAGTGCCGGGCACCCCTTCCAGATGTGCCCAGCACTGGCCAGCCCTCCTGCAGGGTAGGGGAGAGCACATCCCCTCCCCTGATGAGTCCTCCAGAATCCCTGAGTCCTGTGAACCCAGCAGCATTTAGATTTTCTATGACAAAGGTTTCACTCGAGACCTAGTTACTTTGACCCTGAGAGTCATCCACATTTGCAAATACAAAGGAAGCAAAAGCTTTATTATTTTGTTCTTTCATTTATTTATTTATTTGGTAGAGGCAGGGTCTTGCTATGTTGCTCAGGCTGGTCTTGAACTCCTGGCCTCAAGGATCCTCCTTCCTTGGGCTCCCAAAGTGCTGGAATTACAGGTGTGAGCTATCACGCCTGGGTGCAAAAGCTTTCTTTTCTTTTTTTAATTTACTTTTGAAAAATTGCTCCTTCCTATGACAGGAGAAACAATACCACACAACAGACATTAAGCTCATCTCCAAAGTCAGAAGGGAATATTGGTTAACTACAGTACACCTCCTGCCAAGAACTCAAAATTCCAGAACTGACTTGAGTTCTACTGAATCCAGGTGTGTTTGTCCTTCCCAACAGATCTGAATTCTTTAAAGGTGGGTATAGGCTGGGCATGGTGGCTCAAGCCTGTAATCCCAGAACTTTGGGAGGATTGCCTGAGCTCAGGGGTTCAAGACCAGCCTGGGCAACTTGGTGAGACCTCATCTCTACAATTAAAAAAAAAAAGTTGGACGTGGTAGTGCACACCTGTAGTTCCAGCTACTTGCAAGGCTAAGGCGGAAGGATCGCCTGAGCCCAGCCAGTCGAGGCTGCAGTGGGCCATGAGCATGCCACTGCACTCCAGCCTGGGCAACAGAGTAAGAATTCGACTCTAAGTAAATAAATAAATAAAAATAAAGGTGGGTGTATTCTGTTCTTTGCTCTCTAAGGGCCTGGCCCAGGAATCAGTCCCCTGGGAGCCTGTCATGCAGAACTGCAGACCAGGTGTCTTGAATCTGGGCATAGCCCAGGTGCCACTGCTTTCTTTGGCCAAGGCTGCTGTGAGACCAGCCTTCAAAAAGACAGGGATGTCATGATCCCAACACTGTATGTCCCCATTTCCAAAACTCATGGCACCAGCTCAGAATTGTTCATATTTCCCTAGCTGCACTTGCGCCTCTTAGACTGGGAAGTGGTTTGGGAAAGTCATTTTGAGACTGCATACCTCAATTTTGATTTGAAAAATGTAGTCAGTGAGCCAGGATGAGGATGGGATTTTGCAATCCTAGCCTGGAGAGAGTCTTTCGAGTGATTGAGTCCATGCCCTGACTAAAAGAAAACCTACACTGGACATACCTCAGAAGCTGCCTCTCCCTCATTTCCAACAATCTCCACTGAAAGGACCCCAGAACATACCAACACTGGGGATGGTGTCTGGCCTAGATCTTCCTGATGTCTAATCCTAATCCCTCCTTCTTTGACAGAAGTCTATTTGATTTTGCTGCATCCTCCATGAATTTTGCTAGCTGAACAATCTTTGGAATGTGGTCATCTCTGCTTCTATCTCCCCTCTGAAATCTTACTCTTAGTCATTTGTCCTGTTTGGTTTCTGGATGCCCAACTCAGAGTGGAGCTTGGTTTCTCAGAGACGAACAACCACCAAAGCCAGCCAGCCAGTCTGAACCACATGGTGGCCTCCGGTGTTGGGGTATGAGGGAGAAGGCTCCCAGGGGCACGCTGTCAGGTGGGCAGCCCCAGAAGGCTGGAGCCGGGAGGGACTATTACCGTCCATGTGATCTCCATGTTGTTTTTTCTGGTCCCCTCTCCCTTCACATCACTAGGATTGGACTCAGGGGCTGGAACACAAGCAGGCACAAAATTCAAGTCTGATTTGTGCCTTACCAGGGCACAGTAAGCAACCCTTCTCCCTCCCATCTGATGGCCCCTTGTGTGCTCTGTCTTTTCTCAGTGACTCTGTGTGCTGGGTCCCACGTACAACTGAACTCACTCTACCTTTTTTCCATATGCATACCGTGCTTTCCTAGCTAACATTTAAACTCCCAGAACAGGGCTGATTTCTTACGAATTTTAATCCCTTACCAGACAGCATTTATCATAAGGCTTTCCACCCCATGGGTGGTCAATAAGCCAACTCAATGTGGATGATCCCCTTTGTGGATTATCGGCTAAATATGTTTCATATCAGACTGGTTTATCTCTGGCATTTAACATTTTGGGGGAGCACTGCCACCCTCTATAAGCTGGTGTGATTTCAGAAATCTAAACATTGCCAAATGCGTTAGGAAAAGAAATATAATGCCAGATTATACACCCTTGGAGCCTGTCTTTGCTATAGCCCTCCCTTTAAAGCAGATAATCAATAATTACTCATATTAGTAATAATAAAAACGGCAGTTAACATTTACTGTGTACTGGCTGTATGTGGGGCATCATGGCAAGTACCCGACACGCAGTTTGAAGTTTTCACAATAGCTCTATGATGTATGAGATACATCGCATGTTGTTATCACTCTCTACTTCACAGTTCATGTAGCCAAGTCTCAGACAAGATAAGTGACTTCAGTTCACATGGCTGGGAGCTGAGAGGGCTCAGTTTGCGCTGTGGGGGTCTGGTTCCAGAGTCTTCTCTGGCAGCCCTCAGATACTCACGTGCTCCACTGGTTCGGTAGCGCTCAGACGGGAGGCTGGGGTGGCTGCTCCCCACCTCATTGATGGCAATGACCCGGAACTGGTAGTTGACATATGGGGACAGCTGGAGGATGGCTGAGTTGACACTGCCTGGGAACTTGGAATGGTCATGCCAGACCCCTGGTTGGAACTGGTCTTCTTCAAACTGGACGACATAATCTGAGTAGACAAAGAAGACAGAGCTATTCTGAGAACAGCCCAGGACACACATCAAGTGAGGCAGAAGTGGACCAGAATGCAGGAAAGACCTTCACTGCAAGGCCATCGCCACCCCTCTTTTCCTGCTTTGGAGCTCAGGGCCCGAGCTGACCTGTGATGGGACTGTTGTTATCATCCCCCGGGATCCAGGTCAGCCTCACACTCCTCTCAGCCAGGTCGGTGAGCTCCAGGTCCCGGGGTCGGTCTGGCCGTCCTGGCGGCAGAAGAAGACATCATGCAGAACTCCTGAGTTAATAGCCAGCCTGTGCCTGTGCTGGCCCCAGGCCGGACAGGTCCCTGATGGGCTTAGGTCTTCACGAACAGCTGGATCCAACCCCAGCCCTCAGGGGTGAGCACAGGAAACACCTCCTTCCCTCAGGGGCCCAAGAAAGAAGAGGAGAGCCCAAATCCCAACCCCTCTCCAAAAGGATCAAAGAATGCCGAGTGAGAAAATAAAGAGGATCATGCAGGGCCCAGAGAAAATTGGGGCCAACACCATGCCATCTTCCATCCCTATCCCTACCCTGGAATCGCTGCCCCTTCCATTAGCCCTGTGCTCAAGCAGACACAGAAGTGTGTCTCAAGTTTTTCGGGATAATTATCTTCTATTCTGTGTGTCAAGGCTCTGAGGGGACAGGACGAGAGGTTTGGGGTGTGGAGGAGGGCAGACAGGCTATGGGAGAGGGGGCAACAAAGAGAGCGGACCAGGCCAGGGAGGAGATGGAGACATGGTCTAGAAGTTTCAAAGATGAGCAGCAGGACAAAGGAGCTCCAGCAGGCTTCCAACATGGGTGAGGGCAGTACCTCTTGGGGCACTAATCTCACTGGGGTTGCTTTAGTGAGGATCAAGCCATCTGACCACGGGTTAATGGGGGCAGGAAATATCATTTCTCCATCCTGGCTCCCTGAACCAGCTATTCCCCTCTTTCAGCTGGTTGCTGGAAGGAGCGGAAGGTGGGTCCCATGAGCCCACATTCATGTCTGCATGTACACCCGTGCGTCCAGATTGGAAAGGGACATATAGAAGCAGATGTGGGAAGGTTGCAAAACACTGGGCCTCCAGATCACCTGAAGGACACAGGCTTTCCCCACCAGGCTTTCCTCTCCTTCAACACTTGTGGGAAGAACAGGTCACCCCTAGGGAGTGGAGAGTGTGACCGGGAGTAAGTGAAGTGGGTAAAACAGCAGCCAAGGACTTCCGAGCTCAACCTGCAACAGGAGCAGGAAGCCCTGACAGGGTTGTGACAGGGACTCAGGGAGTGGATGCGGGTACCTGAAGGGAGGACAGCTTTGGCAGGGAGTGAGGAGTATTCCCCAGGAGCCCACACACTGACACCCTTTTCTGAAGTGACTTCCTCCTCCTAGACTCCACCCTCTGGGGGCCCAGAGAGGGTGCTGGCGAGGGCCGGAGATTAGTGTGAATTACCTTTGGGCAGGGCAGCCAAACGGTTAGTTGGAGTGGCCTGATCAGCTGTAAAGGTAAGACGGGTTATCCAGGTTAGCAGGTTATCCAGGGTTAAAGATGTTCTAGAAGGAGGGGAATAGGCAGTTGAGGCATGAGCAGCTGCCTCTGGGCTGAGGTGTTCCAGGCATGGCTTTACCCACCCTTCCACAGAGAAACCCCCACAACCTTACGGAGGCTGTCCGTGTTTCCTCCATGGCTGGGGGAAGAACCTCCCCTTCCTTCCCATGCCAATATGACTGCGACGCCAAGGCCTGCCATCCCAGCAACTGTGCCCCTCCATGGACCAACACCAATGGCAGTGGGGCTCCCAGAGGGAGGATAGGCATGATGAAGGACAGCAGGAGATCGGATTCCCAGGAAGGGAGAGGCCTCCTTCCCCCTCATTTTGGACTTGGTATTTATAGTCCAGCCTGAACACAACACAGGAAGAGACAGTATCGTCTTGCTCAGTGCACAGCACACTGTGAAAGCCCATCAAAATCTGGGAACAGGGCAGGAGGGGAGAAAGGCTGGCAGAGGTTATAGGAAGCATAAACACGAAACTCAGTCTTGCTTTAATGATGGATTGTTTTAATCGACTTAGTGGTTTAGAGTTAGCTGTAAGAAAGGTCCAAATGATAACATGAAACCCATTTCCGCTTTCTCTGTATCACTCAGGCCCCCTTGGACTGTTGAGACTCAGAGGAGTTAATGATCCCAGTCAGGAGGTGAGCTGTCCAGCACAGCTTGTTCTGAAACTGGCAGCTCCCTGCCCTGAGATCAAAAGGCTAGAAGAGATCACCAGGCCTGGCCAGCCAGCTGACCACAGGCATTGATCTCAGAACTGCCTGGGCCATGGCTTCTCTGGCCACTGGGGAGGGTGGGACATGGGTAGTTAGTGCCAGGGTGAGCAGCGGCAGTTACCTAGCACGGTGAGGTAGGCCTTGGCTAGGTCTTGGTCCAGCTCGGTGCTGGCAACGCATGTGTAACTGCCCTGGTCCCGCTCTGCCACACCAAAGATGGTCAGTGAGTCATCTTCTTTCTTCATCCTGCAAAGGTACCACGAAGGGGTTGGGAGGAAGGTGGGGAGACAGGAGTGCTGGGCACTGCCTGCAACTTTCTTCCTGGAGGGGGATCTCGAGTCAGAAGAAACAGGGAAATGGCACAGGTCAAGCAGGGGAGCCTCGGGGACAGGAGGCTTCAGCTTGGGGACAGGAGGCTTCATCTTGATACTCTGATGGAGCATTTACTTCACTTGAAAGGGGGGAAGGGAAAGTGGGTGGAGCTCAGGTGCCTCCAAACCACGTTTGCTGCCTTCAATTCCACACCTGTGTCTGTCTCTGTGCCTGTATCATGCTGTCTTCAGTCTGGACTTGTCTCCTCTGCACCCAGACTCAGCCAGGCCTGTCCCTGGGCTCCTCAGAACTATCTCCCACAGAGGGAGGGGGGACCCCAGAGCAGGACGGGGCTTTAAAGCTGTCAGCACCAACAGAGCGCTGGGAGGCCTGCACAGCTTGTTCTGAAACTGGCAGCTCCCTGCCCTGAGATCAAAAGGCTAGAAGAGATCACCAGGCCTGGCCAGCCAGCTGACCACAGGCATTGATCTCAGAACTGCCTGGGCCATGGCTTCTCTGGCCACTGGGGAGGGTGGGACATGGGTAGTTAGTGCCAGGGTGAGCAGCGGCAGTTACCTAGCATACGCAAGGCACACCCCATGCAAGATGTCAGATGGTAGCTGGGAACAGCTGGTACTGTGTGCAACCAGCTGGTCCACCCCTGAGATGGAGGAGGGTAGAGTGAAGGGAGGCTTGTGGGAGGAGACTTGGCCCAGTGATTCTCAACCCTGACTGCACATTAGAAACCTCCCGGGTACTTTCAAACACTACCAATGCCTGAGTCCTACCCTTACACGAATGAAATTAGAATCTGGGGTGAGGGGAGGGGCAGGTGTGGGTATAGTAAAAGCATCCCAGGTTCCCTTACTGGCTGAGAACCACCTCTAACTACAATGACTACTAGTAGCTTGGGCCAATCCTGCCCTCTACTGGACAACAGGGGTGCTGCATGCAGGACTGAACAAACGGAGGCAGTGATGAAGCAGAGGAGGAAGAGGAGACAGGAAGGGTAGAAAGGAAAGGAGAAGGACAAGAGGAGTGAGGAGTGAGGGGAGAGAAGAACTGGAGGGAGGAAGGAGTGGGAAAGAGAGAAGAGAGAGAGGGGAGAGGTGCAGGAGAGAGAAGCAGGGAGCTGACGGGAGAGAGGAACCCAGAGGTTGGGGTGTCACCCAGGCCATCAACCCCTCCTCAGTAGCTCCTTGGTGACATGCATGACAGATGTCTCCTGTCCCTGGGTTCTTCAATGTCAACAGCAAGGGAAAAGAAAAAGCCTCTCAAACTAGCACTAGGAAGAGAGAAGGAGAGAACAAAAACCTGTTTCCAATGTACAGCGGCTCATCGTCCTTCAGCCAGGAGACAGTGAGTTTCAGGGAGGCATCGTGCTTCACTCGACACTCCAGCTGCACTGTGGTGCCCCTTTTGGCAACCTGGTCCTCAGGCATCCGGTAGATCCTGGTGGGGTCTGTGGAGAAACCCAGGGAAGCCGTCATTGACCCACTCTCTGCCCAGCACCCCCAAGCGGCCACACGGGGGGACACGTCTGACCTCCTGGCCTTGGGCCAACCACAGAAAGCGGCACAGTGTGCAGCTGCATGAATGGAGGGAAGTTCCAGGGGGGCGATCCCCAATAGTGAATAATCCCCCGAATACTTTCTCTCTGGCTCAGGAATATACCATGTAACTTCTGGGGTGGTGGCGGGGAGTTGGTGTGGGTCACAGGTCTCCCTTCCTAATTCCCTTTGGACCAAGCTGATGATAAACTGACTCAGTGTTCCCAGCACCTGGGCCAGTGGGAGGGACACGCAAACGCACCCTGAAGAGCTCACTCGGGATTAAACATCAGGTGGGGTACATTTCAAAGTTTGTATCACACACGAGCAAAGGCCAGATGGCTTCCTTGCCCCCCTCCGAACTCCTACCTGTGAACCCTCTCCTTTACCTTTGACCTCCAGGCGTACTTGGTTTTCGGCTTTGCCCAGAATGTTGGTGGCGACACAGGTGTAGATGCCTTGGTCCTCTTTGCGGATCATCTTAATTTCCAGACTGCCATTCTCATAAACATGGTAGTTGCCACCATCCAGGTTGCTTCCTTGCCCATTCTTAAACCTCACAACAGAGCAGCAGAACACACCGCATACTGAGAAAGGGCCGGTCCAGGGGCACAGGGGCAGCAACCCATCAGGAGAGACTGGGCAGCAGAAGGAGCCGGTGCAAGGAGTCTGGAGCACTGAACCTTGTAGGTTCCACCTCCAACCACTAGGTGTCTCTCGCAAGCCTCTGCCCACCTCTGGGCCTTGGTTTCCTCCGCTGTACTATGAGGCAGGGGTCCCTCAACTCCCAGACCATGGATTGGTACCGATCCGTGGCTTGTTAGGAACCTAGGCCGCACAGCGGGAGGTGAACAGCAGGGTGGGCAAACAGAGCTCCACCTTCTGTCAGATCAGTGGTAGCATTAGATGCTCAAAGGAGCAGGAACCCTATTGTGAAGTGTGCATGTGAGGAATCGAGGTTGCCTGCTTATGAGCATCTAATGCCTGATGATCCCCCCCCAATCCCCATCTGTGGAAAATTGTCTTCCATGAAACCGGTCCCTGATGCCAAACAGGTTGGGGACCACTGCTATAAGGGGTTGACTCAGATGATCTATCAAGTTCCTCCCAGCTTTGAACCTTTAGTCTTCCCGGGCCTTCTTGAGTATCTACAATGGGCCAGATGGGAACAAGAAAGGGGGGGACAGACGATCCATGCTGGGGATAGACTGGTCTCCTGGAACTTACCATCGGAGCGTGGGGATGGGAGATCCAAAGAATGGGCAGTCCAGCCGTGTCCGGTTGTAAAGAATCACCCTAATGAGCTGGTTCCGGGGAGACAGCATCCGAGGCGGCACATCTGAAATTCCCAGAGACCCGATCTTGGGTGTGGAGTCTAACGCTCCCATTTCATCCCCCTTGACCTTACCTCCACACACCTTCTCCCTACAGTAGCTTCCCAAGCACCAACTTCCCTTCTTCAAGAAGCCTCTCAGGATTAGGGAAGGAAGGAGGACGTTTATCCATCTCCCTTCAACCTGGCCTACATTCAATCCAGCTTTTGCAAAGGGCTTCCTCCAATTAACCAGCAGGTTCTACAGCTGCCCCTACACAGTCCCAAGGCATCTCCTAGCCTCTGTCTCCCACTGCCTTCTTCCTGCTCAAGGCAGGCAGCAAACATGCTCAGATCCTTGACATGGATATGTCAAAGAGATGAGACAGACCCAGTCCTTCTCATCAGAGGAGGGAGGGGGCTAAGATGGACTTCCCTGGTGGAACTGACTCTGGTGGAGCTGACTCTGTCTGCTCATCCAGCTCTATGGGTTTTAAGTCCCCCATCCTTCCCACAGATCTTTAGTCTCCCACCATCCTCTTGCCTCATCCAGCCTGGCTAATCTCTGGAGAAGAAAGTACATCCATGACATGGCCAAGTCCCAGGGTGATTCCACTGGAGGAGGGTGAAGGAGGAACCGGCAGTACAGGGTGGACTCACCTAGCACACTGACGAAGGCGTTGGCCAGTAGGTAGCCGTGCTCGTTGGAGGTGTTGCACTGGTACACGGCCCTGCTGCTGATCTGGGTGTCCCGGAAGATGATCGTGTCACCGGCCACCTCACGGTTTGGGTTGGGTGGTGCTGCTACAGATAAGAGACACTCCTTGTGAGAGAGGGGGAGGGCAAGGTGGAGGGCATTTGGGGCTCTGGCCGGGGTCCTGAGGACAACCAGGGTGCTGTGGAAAGCACCGGGTGGGTCCCAGATGACCTGGTTTCTGGCTTTACCACTACCCAGCTGTGTGACCTTGGGCCCTTCATCGAACATGCTGGAATTTGTTTCTAGTCTAATCTAGAATATGGGATTATGAATTTCTGCTCAACCTACATAATAGCTGGGCGGTGTGACTGAGAGCATAAGCTTTTCAAACAGAAAGGAGTTTGAATTCCATCATCACTCAACCCCTGTGAGCTTCGGGTTCCTTACCTACAGAATGGGAATAACATCATCTCATGTGGTTTTATGAAGATGACCTGACATTTTATGCGTGTACAAAGTGACTGGCAGAAGATCTAGCACATACTATTACTGCTATCATTTTAATCCAACATATATACTTAAATGTGTTTTGAAAAGGTTAAAGCAATATGCAAATAAACAGGACCTAGCACCTTTCCAGAGTATACCCCAAACATTCACAAAGTTAAATCCATAAGCCAGCGCCTATTGAGAACTCAGAATCCCTCTGTTTGCCAAAGCTCCCCAAGGAATGTGACTTAAGCTGAGAGAGGACATTCCCTCCCACTGTTCTCCCAGTACTACTGGCTTGGGATGCAGAGAGCAGAGGCTGGGGGGCGGCTGATGGGTCTTGATTCTCTCCACACATCACTCTGGGATCTGGAGCACATCAGTACATCTTTCTGGGCCTCATTTCTTTCATCTGTAAAATGGGGAAGAATCCCATCTTTTCCCTCCTCTAAGGAAGGCTAAGATAGAAGAATGATGAGCTGTAAAAATACAAAATTTCCAGAAGTGTAAAGAAAGTGCTTTTCTCAACTTGAACCACTACAAGGTGGCTTTTTTTGATAAGGTTTCTGAACTAGGAAGCTGATGACTTAGCTCACAGAATTCATGAACTCATTCAGGGTTTAAAAGGGAAGTCGGTGGAGGATGCAGAAGTCTAGCCCTGCGGGCGCCACTCCACAGATAGCACGTCTGAGCCCAGAACTGGAGAATCAGCAGAAGAAGGTAAATGAAGACAACGTCAGCATCCTTATCATCCACCGCCGGGTCTCCACTCAGCAAAAAGGTGCCAAGGAAGGCATTGCCAGCAACTTGTATACCTCCTTGCCTGGCAATTCTCATGGAAGCAGCTTTCCTTCCAGTCACTCCCTTTACTGTTCCCTGGGGAGAGTGATGGTAACCTTTCCAGGGCCAAGGCTCAGCTGCAAGTCCTGAGCTGGCATTTATTTAATGGTGCTAAGAAGTCTGTCCCCAAAGTGTCATTAGGACAGAGATAACTACAGTGGGCAGGCAGTGTCCATGTTTCCGCTTGTAGTTGGGAGATATTATTTCCTGGGGATAACTAGGTTCAGTCCTAGCTGGTGCCGGTGTGCTGCAGACTCACAGCAGCCCAGAGCTTGATGACTTTCTAGCCATGTGATCTTGGGCAAGTCACTGCATCGATGACAGCCTTATTTTCTTATCCTAAACGTTTGAGATCAAAGTGATAATAGGAGTGCAGCACTTAGCACAGTACCTGGCACATCATAAGTGTCTAAAAAGGTATAGTCTCACTCTCTCCTGTCTGTCTCCCCTCTCCACCTGGCTTCTACCAGCTGCAGATTGACTTAGATTCTGAGTTCTCTCCATCTGTTTTTTTTGCCTCATTTTCACCCTGTTGTTTGCATTTCCTCTGACCTCCTAGAGGAAGCAATGATCGGACATTTAAAAAAGTAAATACAACTGCAGAGACTATGGTGTGAAAACCTGACTGAGACCACTAGCTGGAAGGGGCCTAGGAGTCACCTACTTCCACTCCATCAGTCTGGGCAGGGCTAAATTTTCCAGTCTATGTATGCTCAGTAAATTGCACCTGTGCATCTGCTGTCATTAGGAAGTTCTTTCTCATATCCAACCATAATCTTGCACAGTACTGGATAACTGTGCTTCTTCTTTTGCCCTCAGTGGAGAATGAGACTTGGGTAACGAACAATATCGGGTGACTGAACTCTCCTCTTCCTTCCAAGTTCCAGCCATCACTCAGAGCCCAAACCCTCAGAGATGCAGCCACAGTCCCCAGACCCTGAATTAGGTTCTATAGTTGTTAAGGGGAAGAAAGCAGAGATTTGAGAAAACCTCACAGGAGCAGAATTGCTCTAACCATGGCAGCAGAACCACAGGGCTCTGGGCTCCCATTCTCTCACACAAAGGTGAGGTGGGTTTTCTGCCTCTCAAGATGTCCACAGAGATGGGCTGCAGAGAAGCCGCTGCCGACGGGCTACTCTCTCCCTTCACTCCTAGTGCAACCAGCGCTGGCCACAATGATGGGGATCTGGAGCCTCCGACAGGAGAAGAAGGAGATACAGGTGGGACGGCAGCTCGTTACTTACACTGCAAAGGTTCCCCATTCACCATCCATTGGACAGTGGGTTTGGGGTTCCCATTGGCTCGACACACCAGTCTCCCATCCTCGCCAGGAGCCAGGATAAGGTTCTTGGGTTCGTCCAGCCAGTAGGGAGCAGCTGGAAAACAAGTACAGGCACAGGCAAGGGCGTCAGACAGCATAGGGAAGGCAGAAGAAACCACATGGGCTCCCTCTAGGGCAGCAGGAGCCCAGGTACAGCACTAGACCCTCCCCCACCTGCCCCAGATGCCCGCCCGTCTATTTTGAGTTCACAGAACAATAGTTCTAAACTGGGGCTGCTCGTTGGAATCCCCTGCAGAGCTTTTTAAAAACAGAGATGCTAGGGCCTGTCTCAGATCCACAGAATCAGAATCCTAAGGAAGACTGGGTGGCGAACGCTTTTAGAGGTCACAGGTGCTTATGATGTGCACCCAAGGGCCCCACTGCAGAGAAGGTGGTAACATGGGCACTGGGTTGGTCCCTCTGGCTTCTTGTTGCATGATCAGATCCTTTAGGAAAGGCCTAAACCTTGATTAGAACAGTTCGTAGCTGGCCTCTCCTTTCAATTGTTTGGACAATTTTGTGAAAACGTGGATTTTTTCCTGAGAAGACTGTCTTTCAGGTCAGATTGTCAAAGATCTTGATTTCCTCCCAAAAGCTAAGAACCCCCTACTTTGTGCATGGTGCAGAAACCAAGGTCATGAGATCAATCAACTGTGTGCTAAGAAAATTCCTGTACTCTGAACCCAGACCTCATCCTCCCGATCATCCATGCAGCCCTAGACTGAGAAGTGACTGGCACAGCCTGCCACACGTGGCTGGGACTCATAAAGATGTGGCTCTATTGCCTGCAATCTCTCGGATGGGCCACCCCTGCTTTCGGGGGAGGAAAGTGCCTTAAAAAAATAATTTTGGTCACCATGACTCTTCGTTTTTAAAAAGCACGGCACCATGCACGTGTACACAGACAGCACAGGGCTAAGACAACACATTACAAACAGGAATGAAAAATGAAAAATATAAAGGCTCTGGGTATGATCCGTGGGCCATGAAGGAAAATTCACCTGTTGAGGGAGCTCCAGCACAAGGAGATTGGGTGATGATCAGGGAGTATCTCCTTCCCTTAATCGGCCCCCCCACACCATGCATGTGCATGTACACACACTCTCACATCCAGGATTCAGGGGCACCTCCATCCACGGCAGATCCTTTTTGCCACTACCCAGTGTTAGAAGCTTCCTCCACTCACCCTACCCCTCAACCACCCTCAGAGGGAAGGGTGGTCATGGTGTTTGGGGTTGGCAAAATAATCATAATGAGAAATACACACAACGTACCCTTTACTCTCACCGAGATCGTGTGCCGGATGCTGCCCATCTTGTTGGAGGCCAGGCAGAAATACTCCCCAGAGTCTTCCTCAGAGACATTGGTGATACGTAGAGCCTTGTTAAAGTTCTCAAACTTGGCCTTGTCAGATGGGAGGTCTCCCCCTTTCTTGTACCATGCGATGTCTGGTGTTGGGCTAGGAGAAGCACCAAGCAGGAAACAAAGAACTTAGTGCTAAATGTGGCCCTCCTCTTCTTCTGTAGAGCCTGGGATACCCAGGGGTCCTAAAAGGGAACTTGGGTCCAGGAGGATGCTTGTCCTCTAAAATCTGATCTTTCCTAGATAGAGGTGTTCGCTCAGTCAGAAAGCCTGAGGAACTTAGTTAAGGCCCCAAGAGATTCCAACGCACATACAGGATACCTAACCACCTCCTTTTCTCACGACTCAAAGCAGAGATGTCCAGAGAAGGATGGAGATGACTATGGTTTGTAATATCCCGCTCACTAGGGGTTGCTTGCTTCTCTTTTTACTGTACTACTGGTGTGCACCCAAACGTGGCAAAAACAGGGCATAGACAAACTCCCATCCCATTCTCCTGGAGGGTGCCTAGAAGGGGAGGTGCCCACTGTACGTACACCCCAGAGGCAATGCACTCCAGCAGGAGGTCCATGCCACGAAGCACCATCTGACTGCTCGCGGTGCCCTGAGGATACATGAAGCTGGGTGTTCTTTCTGCAACTCCTCGGGCTGAAAAAGGATAAAACGAACTCCCGTGAGCCTCCTTCCAGGGGGCTGACCCAGCTAGGCCAACGCTGTCAGGCAAGAGAGAAATGTCATCATACCCCTAGCCGGACCTCCCAGCTGAAACCACCCCAAGGACCTGGGTGTCATTAAGTGAGGTGTGTTAGGAAGCTCAGGGCTCCTTGGCCCTGCCAGCACATGAATGTGAGCAGCTCTAGGTTTTGAATGGCTCTGCTAAGAGGAGCCCAGCTTCCCGCAGAGTTCAGGAAACCTCCTCTTCCCTGGAACAGGGGAGGGATTGTCCGAGTAGTGAGAGGTCTACTCTCTGAGCACTTTGTGTTGGGATCCTGGAGGCTACTGGGGCCCCCAGGGCAGGCCAGCTCAACAACAGTCCTTCTCCTCCAGACAGGGATGTGAAAGACAGAGGAGGCGGGTACCGGGGCCACAGGACAGACAACCTGCTCTTTGGGACCCTGAAGACAAGGAGCTGGAATGGAGCCATAAAGCCCCACACAAACAGTCAGAGATGCTGGGAGAGTTATTAATGGTTTAGTAAAGACATGGAGAGAATTAATGAGCAGAGATGACAGGAAACCACTCTGGGGCCAAGACCATTGTGCCTACTTGCTAATAACTTTGGAAGGGAACTGGGGAGGAAGATGGTAATTGCATGTGAGATACTGGGGGAGAGGAGGAGAGGAACGTGGCCGCCAAGCTGAAGGAGGTGATCTACAATTCAACTAGGCTGCAGCAGTCATGGGTCTGAAATCAGTGAAATTCATGCAGGTTTTAAAGGCCAAGCAGCTCACAGAGATTGGCATTTTCAGGATGGCCAGTGGAAGGGGTCATGTCAGTCTGGGCTCACCCACAGCAGAATGGACTCCATCTTGTCCAAGCCTTACCTCTCCCCCTAAAGCTCTTTGTACAGCTCTATGGAAACAGGGAAGATAGAAGGGAGAAGAGCAAGGATTTGCCATCCAGGCACCCCAAGGCAGAAGGGAAACTGGAAAGGGTAGCCCCTGCCCAAAGGTGTATATGTATGACTGTACACAAGAATGATTAAAATAAAAAATAGAAGCTGAGGCTACCAGTGGGTGTAGTCAGTCTTAGACTCAGCCAGACAAGTGAAAGGTGGAAGGCAGGCAGGGCTGCCAGGAGCTGGGAGGCCTCAGAGATGCCTGGGTGAGACAAATTTCTTCAGGATTTAATTGGCGTTGGCAGAGTGAGAACATGGTAGAACTGGTGCTTCCTAAAGGAGCTTGCTGGATTCACTGGGGTCTGGGTGGACCAGTGGGGCTTCTGTCCTATGTGTGCCCAGGTTATCTCCCTTGGCCATTGGCCAAATGCCCTTTGTAGAGTTTGCTTCTGTTCTATCTTATTGTGAGAGTTGAAAGGATGAAACATATACAGAGGGAAACAGGCTGCTGGCACAATACAACGAACACAAAAAGTGCTCCATAAATGTTGGTGGGATGAATGGATTAAAGTGGGAGAACAAAAAAGAAAGCAACACTTTACCCATTGTGCTATTTTTCTTTCTGTAGATGTCCTCATCTGTCCCGCCAGCACCCACATCTACCACAGTGGCTACTGAGGGGTTAATTCATTATGTGGTTAATTGGTTACCATCTACATTTATAGCTCTTGTAGCATCCAACTCCCATTACCAAGGAAGCCTGACATCACCAGCAGCTTCCTCCCACCCAATGTCACGGAATCACCCAGACAGTCAAGACAACACAAGGTCAAGGGCATTATGAGCAAAAGGAGCTTCTAGGGCAGGAGGCTCTGGTGTCAGGTTGGTGAACCTGTTAAGAGCTGGGAACCCTGTGATTATGTGGAAGAGGTTCCAGCTCAGTCGTCACGCTCCTTCCATGCAGGGACAAAATCTGCAGAAACCAATATGTGACCCTGTGAACATTAATTCACACCATCACATGCAGCACCACAGCACACATGACCAGCAAAGCAATAAGGATGGGAAGGAGGAGAAATTAGCACAGAGTCCTACTGTGGGTGCCTTGACATGCTACAGCTGTGACTATAGAAAGATTATTGCAATTTGTAGGATGTGGGCTAGCATGAGGGCCACCACTTGGTGAACGTTTCTTATGGGTATGATGTACTGTGCTGACAGTTCCATCCACTTCCTCTAATGCTTAATCCTCACAACAAATCTGGGGAGTTTTACCCCCATTTTCAGTAGAGGAAACTGAGGCTCAGTGATATCAACAGACTTGCTCCAGGTCAAGAGCTAGTTACGTTTTGGACTCTGGACCATTTTGTACCAAAAACTTATGTTCCATACCCAGGCTATATTGTAGAGATGGACACTACACCTGATTCTACTTCTGACAGGCAGCTTTGGGAGTATCTCTTTTACTCAAACCAAAGAAAATCCAAGGGTAAGAGAGGTAAAGAAGAAAGATATTTCTGTTCTGGTGAGGTGCTCTGGTGAAACTCTTCCATTATGCTGTACTATTTTCATTGTCTCAGCTAAGAGATTCCATCTCTCTTCAGTGGCTATTAAATAAACTCAGAACCAAGCTGGATAAAAGAAAGCTGGAGAGGGAATTAAGTTGCTTCAAAGGTGGTCTCAACTGGATTCTTAAGGGCATGGAAAACTTAAAGAAGAGTCGGAGGGACACATGATGTCATTAAGGAAGGAGAAGGATGGCCCCAAAGGGGAGGTCATGAAGAAATGTGGTCAATTGCAGCAGGAGAAATTTATTTAACAATTTGGGAAGCATTATCCAGCTGGTGGCTATGGAAGCCACTGTTCCCAGGGGAGGATTCCTAATTTCCTTCCCTGGAGAAGTATATACAGGAAGAAAGCCTCAGGCAAAGGTAATTTATTATATGAAGCCCTAAATGGTGGAAGATGGCCATCTCTCCTTGGATGTCATAGAGGCAGGAATCCCTGGTGACACTGTCTACTCTGATGATATTTCTGTTGTTTTCCCTGATATTCAGGGTAGGATCTGACCTAATACCTGATCAAACTCAGGATCTAGATGCTGAAGCTCACATCTGCATGGATTCAGGAAGAGCTTCCTACCTAGGCCCATCTGACTTCTTGCCCAAAGTACAGTAAATCTTCTCCTGCTCTCATAAGCTGTGGCTCAGAGTGGGTTCATGGGTTTCCAGGGGAACATGGTCATCTAGGAGACATCAGAAGATGACACTGCCTCAACCACATTGGCTTTAAAGGTTCAATTAAAAACAAATGCCTCTTGCTCATCTCCTGCTGGAGGGAAGGTCATGATTGCTGCTAACCTCAGTTGCTTTCCTCTGTCAAGTGCTGTGTGTTTGCAGGACAAGAGAGTTCAGTGAATTCAATGTTTCTGAAGACCTTTGCCAAAAACAGCCTTTAGGGGCAGCTGGATCCTACATCCAGACCACTTTGCTGCTTTCAGTTCTCAGAACTGAGAACCAGAGACTCATGGGGCTGGATTTTTGGCATTTCATCCACCTCTCTGGCTTTAGGAATGGCTGATCAAATAACCCCAGAAGATGAGAAAGACTTTGTCTAGTAACATTTGACAGCTTTCACTGACAGGGAATTTCTTCTATAAGGCTAACCCAAATCCCTTATGCAGTAGTTGAAGCTTTTTACCTTACCCAGTTATCAGTATAGCTGAGGATCTGAACAGCATTTATATATCGAGTCTGCCCCAAAATTTCTCCCTGCATGAAACTCTCTTCCTGTAATTGCACGTGCCTTTTTCCCCTTGGCTTTTCTTCAGGTTCTCTGTGTCCCTCTTAATTTCCAAAGCACAGAAGAATTATCCATAATACAGTCAACACTAAACCATGCCCTTTAAAGCCAATAATGAGCAACATTTATTAAGCATTAATAATGTGTCTAACACTATATAGGAATCATATGCACATTATCCTGTTTAATCTCCTCAATAATCTAATGAGATAATACACCCACTTGGTAGATGAGAAAATTGAAGTTCTGAGACACTAAATAACTTGAACAACACTCCGTGATACGTCCTGGACCCTGAATTTAATTCAAGGCAGTCTACCTCAGACAGCACACTCTTAACTACTTGGTCTCCTTGCCTGGGTAAATCCCAAGTGGCAAGTGACACTCTCAGACCAGCTTCCCCTGCCACTCAGCAGGTCAGGGGGCATCTGACATTTGTTCAGAGGATACCAACCCACTCTAGAAATCACCAGAAAAAAATATTTGCTAAAAAAGAGACATGACATATCTCGGTGCCAAGCAGAGCGAAGCACTGAGCAGTTTTCATTGATGGTGTCTCTACCCAGCTCCTGCATTTAGGAAGGAAGTCATCCTCCCTCCTTCCTTTTCACTTTCTATTTCTTGCCAGAAGCATCAGCCTAGCCATCCTTTATTCAAAGTGTGCCTCATTTTGTACTTTATAGTAGCTTCATACTTGGGTCAGCCCCATCCTACCTTGGACAGGGGACAAGGGGTCAATCTGCATGTGAATTCTTGTAAGCTTTGCTTGTTTCATAGTCCTGTTTGGTTCTCATAACTCCCATTCATTCTCTTGTAATACTATTGATCGCCAGTCACAAACTGGTTTAAGTGGCTGGAATCATTCAAACTTATTTCATTGATAAAACAATTCCATGTTCACGTTCCCTTGCATGGCTTATCTTATATAAAGTGAGGAGCTTAGACCAGATGGTCTCTAGGGGACCTTCTGGCTCTGATACACTCCAGTTTTTAGAATACTTCCTATAATAGATTACTTGGCATCCAATTTAGAAAACGGCACATTCCATACCATCGCTCTGGTGCTCTTGACATAACAGTAGTTGGTCCCATTATCTTGAAAACAAACGATGCCCAGAATTCAAGTAAGGTCCCTTGCTTCCCAGGGCAGTAAATCTCTGGTGGAATCTCAGTGTGGTTCTAGCTGCTTGGTGCCAAGTTAGAGGCTTTGCCTCTCTCCCTGGCTCCTGCCCATCCCCTCTCCAGTCACCCATCATCGTTTATATTAGCACATCACAGTACAGACACTTCCTATCTATTTCAGTCCACAATGACCCCCTTGGGGACCCACAGCCTCAGCTTCTGAGGCATAACTAATGATGGGGGCCAGCTGCCTCTCGGAGCCAGCAAATGATAACTCCTGGCTGCTCAAAGAAAAATAAGACATTCTTGAGCCATGGTGAGGAGTAACTCAGGTGTGGAAACAGTCAATTACCCTATTAATCAGACTAAGCAACCAGTTGTGGGATGAGTTAGAGTTATGCCTTGTTATAATTAATTATTCCACGTCTTGCAAGTGTGGACTGGTGGGCACTGAATGTGCATGTAGCACCAGAGGAGAGAAGCAGCACAGGGAGGGGACACTGTAGATGGCCTATCTTCATTTATCTTTACCTGGAAAGAGAACCCACAGCTGCACTCTGACTCCTATTTCCCAGAACTAAGGCTGCACTACAAGGCAGGCAATTCTTATCCAGAAACTTAAGTTAGCTAGACACACACGAAGAAGCTTTCTGTGTTCTTTAAATCACCAACAGGCAGTAGACTTCCTGTTTCTTCCTCATGTGGGAACATACATATTCTCAGATTTTCTCTATCCATCCACCACTGATTTCTAAGTTTCTACTTTTCAGTAGAAGCTGCTGCTTTTCAAGAAGCCCTCTGAAGTCCTTCCCCGATTTGAACTACTTGTCGAGAATTCAGCAGCTTGAGGCTTGCCTGTTAGAGAAGACTGAACCACCAGGTGGGTTACCTTGAGACCCCACACTGGCCACCTTCCCCTGGTGGGCAGTCTTCTGGAAGTGTCACCTTGGTACCCTAGCCGGGCCAGCTGTCTGACCTGCCACCCAGCAGGAGTTAACAACATGGTGTCAGTCAAGTTAGGCAAACGGGTTAGCACAGGCAAAGTTACTCCCAAGGTTACCGCCGCGACTCACCACTGTACATGTCAGGGTGGTTTCTTAAGGACGAGTCATTATAGGGGTGGTCTGCAATAAACAAAAGAGGGTGAGCAAACAGGAGGCCACGGAGAAGTCATGAGGCATAAACAAGGAGAGAATAAACAGAAATGCAAAGCCACAAAAACAACCGAGGAGTGCACCAGAGGCCTTTTGCAAAGGCAAGACATGGTGTGTATGGAAAGCAAATATGCTTGGGGAAGAACAAGCAACACAAAACAGCCCACAAAAGGGAAGAAAAGGTTAAATCCTGTAAAAGAAGGCAATAATCAAATAAGTTTCTTTTTAAATTAAAGAAATTAGGCTCGAACTTTAACTGCTTGGTCCTACTATGTGCTCGAACAAATAAGGATTAGTGGTCTCCTGTAGCCGTCTTTGAACAACTGCTTCTCAGCAAAGTCCTCAGTTCCCAGGACTCTGGGTCAGGCCAGCTCTGGGGCAGCTAAAGAGAAAGAAGTGTTAGTGAGCCCTGGGAAGACCAAAGTCCTACCCTGGGCAGAAGCTAAGCTGCAGGGGGCGGGAGGTAAATGGAAGGAAAAGCAGGTCACCAATAGAGAGAGTGGGACAGAGGGCCCCAGGCAGTGCCCAGCAATAAACACCTCCCCGAATCAGACCAGGAGGTGTGCCACTGTGGTCTTTGAGATGTCTCTGTTGGTAGAAAGCCCACCTGTGAGGAGGATGGGAGTAGTCCGATAAGGCAGGGAGAGCTTGGCTGAGGTTCAAGTTTAAGAATTTAGAAAGGGTCTTGGGATAGTAGAGAGAGTATAAGCTGTTGAGTTCTACACTTTGGACTGGAAAAGGCCTGCTGGCTACCCTAGAGATGAAAACATTACTTCAGGAGCAAGAGCAGTGACCTCAGCTACAATGGCAGATAATATAAACCCTTGAGCATTGGCTCTTTAGTGAGAAAGACACTTTGGAGTGGGCCACAGAATCACACCAATGTCCTTAAGTAGCTTTTCACTTTCTACCATGGACCCTTTCCAGTGACTGGGTTCAAGTTTTGACAGAACCAAAAGGGGGTGGGGTGCAGCTGACTGGAAGCTAAGTAGACAGCTCCGAAAAGCCCAGAAGGCAGTCCAACCGCCTGAGGGAAGACAGGTGCTCTGCCAAAACATTTGCATATTTGCCCCCTTACAACTAATTGCAAGAGGTATGGGAGTTCTTTTCTGGGATTGGCATTGCATTGCATCCCATATCTGCTCACCACCTGGTAGGAAGATTTTCATTATTCAGAACTCTCTCTTAAGACAGGGTTTGTCGTAAAAGACTTAGCCTGTTTGGGAAGTTGGCTTGGGTACATCTAGAGCTACAGGCGGGAACAGTTACGAAGAGGCAGGGGGCTCAGGGATAGGTGGGGGTGGCGACTGGGCTTGGGCGGCGACATTCTGCTCCTGTCCTGGGAGAGGACAATGGCACACACAGATGACAGGCCTTTCTTTCATGCCCCTATGCCAGCAGGTGAAATGTAACCTCTCTCTCTCCAGAGAAGTGACTCATACTCAGAACTGACCTCATAGTTTGTGGATTCTGGAGCACAGATGAGAAATTCAGGGAGGCTTTTTGACTCCTTTAAGAATGTCACTTAGACATTGAAGGAAGCAGGGGTAGCACTTTGTTGTCTGCCTCAGGAAGAGCCCTCCTCTCTCACCACAGTTGTCTCTTATTGTGCAGAAGGCACCAGAAGGGACCTGGCACCTGTCAGTGAGCAAAGTGGGCAGGGACATCTTTGCTAGCTGACTCCACTGCATCCCCAAACAGATTAAAAATGATTTCCGATTACCCAGTCTTTTGCATTATATACCCTGTCCCCTTCCTTAATGCAGGTGATGAAAACTGGATGTGATGAGATCTATTTCTTCTCAAGTGGGCAAACTATTACAGAAGCCCTGGTGAGAGCAGGACCTATGAAGCTGCCCCAACTTGACTGCTTTGCTTCCCACCCCCAGACCTGGTTCTGAAGGTACAAGAGGAAGCCTGTGTCCTTTCCAGACAGGAAAGTAGCGAGAGCACAACTGTGCTATTTTAAGCAACTGTACCCAATTCTGGGCTGGCTCGGATGCCCAGAACTTGCTCCCAGCCAAAGCTGCCTCTGGGAGAACTCCAGGAAGCTGACAGGGTTCTGTTCCAATCACCTAGATGGCTTCTTGTCATTCGGAGGGATAGGAGACCCAGAAATGAAGCACAAGCAAACATTTCTTAGATCCTTTTGCAGAGAAAAGAGTGTTTCTGGAAAGTCCAACTTCTAAATGTTGTTGAAATCTCTAATTGCTTAACTCTGCAGAGGAAGACTTTGCCACCTTGATCTCCCAGCCCCTGCTCCACCACACATGACAGTGGTGGCCTACGCCCAGGACGGCAGAAGGTCACCTAACTCAGTTCCAAGAGCAGTAGGCTGACATCCAACATTGCTTGTGCAAAAAGAGAGGGGGCCCAGCGATGATACTGCAGGTGACCCAGGGTCAGCTCAGTGAGCATCTTGCTCTTGATATCCCTGCTCCTCCCATTGCCAAGGCTGCCAGCCCTGTCCTGGCTGCTGGGCCATGCTGAGGTCCTGGGCAGACCACACTGTCCTCCTCAGCTCAGCCAGCTGGCAGGTGGTCACCCCGACGTGCACTGAGGAGACATCGCAGACTCCTCCCCGGGGGTCTCCCTGGACCTGAATCAGGAATAAGAAAGCCAGAGAAGGGGCAGCAGGAAGAGAGGCCAGGCCACCCTGCCAGGAACATGCAGGGCTTGTTGCAGGTTTCGGCAATCCTGTTGTCTGTCACCTTATGGGCGGTTCAACAACTCAGAACAGTGTGTGAGGACACTGCAGAGGCACGAGGGAGACAATGAGAGGAGAGCAGGATGGAGCTCAAGGAAAGAAAGATAGAGGGAAGAGAAGAAAGAAAGAAATAAGGGGGGAAATAGGCAGTAGGAAGTGAAAAAGAGAGAAAATGAAGACTAAAGAAAAAAAAACATGGGTAGGGAAACAAAACAAGGAAGCTGCTTCCTTCTGGACCCACCTGTATGCCATCTTGGAAATGGAGGGTGAGGCTGTGTCCAGTCTCAGAACCACCTGCCTCAAACATCAGCAGGGATTGAGGAGGAAGGAGAATACTAAGGGGTCAGCCCCCCTTGTCCTGAGAGAGGAATGAGTTTACCAAGACTCTCCTGACCCACACCCACCCAGGGGTCATCGCAAGCCACCTCCACAGAAACCCAGGAAGCTAGGGGTCAGCCTCTTCTCTGACCTGTAAAAACTGCCAGCACCCAATCCGTGGAAACTGCTAGTACCTTCTTTGCCTGGCCGCCCCCACAATCCTCACCATCCCCAGCATTGAGAATACCCACAGAGCAAGTCAGACAGACTAAGGTCTCTTTTTTGCACCTCCTCTATGGAAGACATGTTACAAAGCCATGGTGTATACCAATATAGACAACTTGCAAAGTCCTGAGTGGGCTGTGGACTTTGCAGCAAACTCTCCAGGCTGGCTTCTCCTCGCCAAGAAATGTGTTCCTGACTAAGCTTCTCTCCTCTGTGGAGAGCCACCAACGCTATGATGGGTCAGGAAATGCTGATTTGCTTTTGTACCAGCCAAACGGGATCAGGAAGTAGAAAGGAAAACAAATAAAACTAAAACATAAGTCTGCAACTCACAAACATGGTGATCCCATATGGTTCAGCATATACACATTACAGAATGAAATAGTTTGTTTTGGTGTATCCACTAGTTTTGATATTTTATATATGGTCTTCTTCTAGAAATAAGATAACCAAGCAATGGCCAGCTATAAAAGAAATAATCAAGCTGTGTCCTGGGAAGGATGCCAGATGCCCATCCAAAGCAGTGGCCCTCAAACTCTGGTATGTATGTGAATCACCTGGAGGGCTAAGAAAGACCAAAGGGGCTCAGGACTGTCAAGGGACTTTGGTGCTGGGCCTGGGGTATTGGCCAAGTTTAAGGTGACTCTGATTCCTACCAAAGTTTGTCCCCTCAGACTCAAGTACCCAAGGCTGCTTGGGCTCAGTGGGCTTCCTTCCCTTGGCCCCCAGCCTGGGCAGGGGTCTGCACTTACTGGTAAGAACCTTGAGGGTGAAGGGATTCTTCTGCTGGATGGTGTGGGTGAAGTGGAAGCGGGCATTGCAGCTGTAGTCAGTCTGCATGTCCTGTAGCATCACGTTGGAGAAATACAGGTCTCCATTATGGCCCTGGGAGACACGTTTGTCTTGGGTGATGGGCTCCATGGCTATAAGGAAGCAGAGGTACAGTAGCAGGTTAGTAGTCATGGTAACAGTGGCAATAATCACCATGAGCACTTACAGAGGGGTAGATGGGGACCAGGAGCTTGACATTATTTATTCTAATCCTCTTAACTCTGAAGTATGGCTTATTCCCATTTTACAGAAAACAAAGCAGGGGATTTAACATGTCCTGGGTTGCAAAGGCATTGAGGGGAGAGCAGGATTTTAGATTCCATCTCTTGTTCATGCCACAAAAGATCTTAGTTCCTGATGCCAGAGGGGAGAAACACAAGCCTTCAGATGCTCCCCAAAGTAGGAATCAAATTCTTAAGGATTTGTTCACCTTTGGGCCCTGGTACCCAGCTTAGGACCTGGCATATAGGAGGCAGTTTTCTGAATTAAATGAAATTGAACTTACTGAATTTGATCAAAACGTAACCATCAAAAAGAAATCTTGGTTTTTATTCCTAAGAAAAAGGCACTACTGGTTATAAATGTAAGAAGTATATCAATGATGTACACCATCAATTTTAAAAGATTTTCCGGTTCTAGAGATGTCAAAATATAAAAATGTATGCTTTTTAAAAAAATTTATTTTAAAAATGTGGGGTACAATTCAGGGATAGGTGTTCAAATGTTCATTATGCAGGTATTCTTTGTTGATGAGGTGTGGCCCCTGGCAGTTTCCTGCTACTGTCAATTCCACCCCCTACCTCCCCTGGCAGTTTCCCACTATTGCCAGTTCCTTTCTTACAGTATTATGATAATTGTGCAAGGTCTACTTATGAGTGAGAATATGTGGTACTCAGTTCTTTGTTTCTGTGATAGATCACTCAGTATTATAGACTCTAAGTCCATTCAAGTTATGTGAAGTTCATAATTTTGTCCTTCTTTATAGCTGTATAATATTCTATCATGCATATATACCAGAAAATGTGTGCTTTTTAGAATGAATGACATCCTAGGAGTGGCTGGGAGTAATGACTATATTATCTATATATTTTTTCAAGCACTGCATATGGTGTAAACTCAAAAGACCAGATCTCCAGGTTGTTAGGTTTATTAAACTATACTTAAGGCTGGCTGCTCATAGCTATCTCCTCTTATCCCCACAAATTGATTTTTTAAGTCACCATTTCTTAAAGCACAAGGCTAATGATACCAACTTTCCCCCAGTGGGCTGGGCAGCTTCTCAAATCATTCCTTAAGGATTTACTGTAGGCTTATTATGTGCCAGGCACTGTGCTAGGTGCTGGTGGAAGAGACATGAACAAGAAAGACAATTTCTGCCCTCAGAGAACTCCCAGTCTAGCAGAAGAGATATCAGATAAAAAAAGCATTGCAATGCAGTGTGGTGAGCAGAACGCATCAGGGAAGAAGGGGATAAACTGCAGAAAAGGACCCAATCCATCCCAGGGGGTCTTAAGCTGAGCCTTGAAGGTTGCATATCTTCAGCGTAACCATCAACCACTGTACCAGGCAGAAAAGACAGAGTAGCTAGGAGGTTTCCAAACAGCAGAAAGAGTGTGGAGTGTGTGCTAAAGGCTAAGAGCACACAGTCATTCAGGGATCCAGGGGTGGGAGAAGTGCTGGAGAGGCAGAGGGACGGATCAGGAAGGGGACTGTGTGCCAGGGAAAAGGGTCTGGATCATTTTTGAGGTGAAGGAGAAGCCAATGAGAAGCTGTAAGCAGACGAACAGAGCTATGTGATTCATGTTTTTGGAAAGACTGGGAGGCCTGTTATGGATAACTGCTGTAACCCAGGGAAAAGCTGATGGTGGCCTGGGCTGGGGAGATGCCCGTGAGGATAGAAAGAAGAAGAGGGTCTGAGATCTGCTTGGGAGGTAGTGTAGATACAATCTGGTGATGAAGGTGGTGTAGGGGATGAGAGGTGAGTCTGAACTGTGAACTAATAAACCAAGCCACCCCGTGGCCCGGCAGCCATCCCCACACAAGTACACTGTGATGAGGGAAGAGAACAGTGAATGAGCACAAAGCCATCCCCATCCGTCTAACAACTCACAGCGCTGCCTCATTGACAGGACAGCCTCTTTTGGAAGCAGGCTGGGAAGAATTCAGGGATGGAGAGAACGATAGATGACAGGCAGCCATCGAGACAGCTAGCTAGACTGATAGATGGATGGACAGGTAGGGAAGGGGAGATGGAAGGAGGGAGAGAGGTGGCAGACAGGTAAGTAGGAAGGGAAGCCAAGAAGACAGACAGACAGTCCTCTATTTACCTTTACAATGCCTCTCTTTTTATTTTAATTGAAAGCATGGGAAGACACTGAGGTCCAGAGAGATTGAGCCTCAGTCCAAAATTGAGCCAGAACAATCCCTGAATGATGCTACTCTGTTCCCCTACTCCAACACCCTATCTCCCCATCTCTTTTAGTAAAGGTTTCAACCCCCCATTCACCCTTCCTCCTACGAAGAAGAGCAAATCAGAGTAAATCCAGACTGGCTAAAGATTGAAGGAGAAGGCTTGGTATCACCTGCTTTCAATTGAGCTACTGAAAAAACACGGTTTCTCCTTTTCTTCTTTATTCCTTTTTTTTTTGCTTTTTTTTTTTTGAGTTGGAGTCTCAGTCTGTCACCCAGACTGGAGTGCAGTGGCATGCTCCTGGCCACTGCAGCCTTGCCCTGCTGGGCTCCAGCAATCCTTCTGCCTCAGCCTTCCAAGGAGCTGAAACTACAGGCACATGCTACCATGCCCGGCTAATTTTTGATTTATGGCAGAGACAATTGCCTAGGTGGGTCTCGAACCTGCGGGCTCAGACAATCCACTCGCCTCGGCCTCCCAAAGTGCTAGGATTACAGGCTGAGCCACCAAGCCCAGTCTTTTTCTTGCTTTTCTTTATCATCATCACAAGTGTTACCAAGAACTTCCCATGTGTCTAGCCCCGTGTCTAGCCCTGTTAGCATCTTGGACACATTGACTCACTTATCCTTACAAGTATCCTATTAGTTAAGTACAATTATTAGCCAGAAGAGGAAACTGAGGCCTCTTCTTTATGGCTGCATAATATTCCATCGTGTACATGTATCAGAAAATGTGTGCTTTTTAGAATGAATGACATCCTAGGAGTGGCTGGGAGTAATGACTATATTATCTATATATTTTTTCAAGCACTGCATATGGTGTAAACTCCAAAGTCAGATCTCCAGGTCGTCAGGTTTGTTAAACTATACTTAAGGCTGGCTACTCATAGCTATCTCCTCTTATCCCCACAAATTGATTTTTAAGTCACCATTTCTTAAAGCACAAGGCTAATGATGCCAACTTTCCCACAGTGGACTGGTTAAATAACTTGCTCTAGATTAGTGGTCCCCAACCTTTTTGGCATCAGGGAACAGTTTTGTGGAAGACAGTTGTTCCACAGATGGTGAGGGGTGGGGGATCTTAGGTTCTCATAAGGAGCGCACCTAGATCCCTTGCATGCACAGTTCACAATAGGGTTTGCGCTCCTATGAGAACCTAATGCCGTGGCTGATCTGACAGAAAATGGTGCTCTGCTTGCCCACCACTCACCTCCTTCTGTGCAGCCAGGTTCCTAATAGGGCTTGAACCAATACCGATCCATGGCCCAGAGGTTGGGGACCCCTGCTCTAGACCACACAGTTAACAGCAGGCTGGCTGGAAAGAGCCCAAACAGCCTCTGCCACAGAGCCTGTGTTCTCTGTCCTGTGGTTACTTTGCACCTGCTTCTGGAGTCAAGTTCTTCTGGCTTGGGCAAGTCGTCCCCCTCCATTTAACACACCTGTCCCACTCCCTAAGATTGAAATAGAAACAAGGTGCCCAAGACTCACAGCTGCTCATCCAGAAGATGACTGGAGATGGAAGTCCGGGCGGGGGGTTGCACTGGAGCGTCAGGGGAGCACCTTCTTGGACCACGACAGGGTCTAGGTTTTCCTTGGGCCACAGAGGAGATTCTGAGGAGAAGCAGATGAGGAGGATAAAGTGAGGGTGACGGCTGGAGCCAGGGCAAGTGCAGGGCCAGAACCAGGGATGCAAGAAGGAGAAAAACGAGGGGCGACTGGATAAGGAGGGAGGCAAGAGAGAGGAACAGGACACATGAGTCTATGAGAGGGCAGCCCTTGAGAGGCAGAGGAAGGGCGGCCTTTTGTCTGAATGGATGTGCATCTTCAAAGGCTCCCCTCCTTTCCCCTCTCCTAGCCCTGAGTGGCCAGTGGAGTTGTTGCAGGCTCTAGTTTGGAAGTTGTCTTTCCAGGGAATCTTTCTGAGCTGGGGGAGATGCACGGAGGGCACCTATAGGCCAAGGGTTGGACAGCCTTTCTGGAATGGCCTCCATGCTCCTGTCCCCCATCTTCCCAGGAGCAGGGCATTCTGGCCCTGCCCCACGCTACTCACTAGACACCTGCAGGCGGATCCTGTTGGAGAGGGCCGTGCCAAATTTGTTGCGGGCAAAGCACTGGTACTCCCCCTCGTATTCTTCTGGTCGCCCGCCACTGCGGAAGTCAATCACCAGGGTCCCAGACCTCCTCCTCATGGACACCCGGGGGTCCTTGGCGATGTTGAAGAACCTGCTGTTTCGAGTCCAGTGGAAGCTGTGGACAATGGGATCAGGGCAACCAAGATGAATGGGGTGGGCTCAGGGCTCCAGGCAGATCTTAGACCCCCCCGTCCCCAGCTCAGTGCCAAATTTCCCATTTTCAGTCCCATCACCACCACCCCCATTATCAACGGGCCCCAGCCTGGCTGAGCGGCAGAACCATTGGGGAGCTTGATAAAATGCAAAGTTCCAGGTGCCGCCCTGGTGAATTTCCAGTAGAAGTATTTTTACCCAGCCAAGGCAGGAAATCATGGTTGTAAGTGGTACATACAAGCAGCCACTGGAGGACGATGCTGAGCACACAACTGAGCAGTGGGCAGCGATTTTAGGATCTAGAATAGTAGCTCCTTCCACCCCAGGACATTCCTAATCTCCTACTAGGAATGCAAACTCAAATTCACATTTCACCCAACCCAAACGCATCAGGAAGGTAGCTCTGCTCTACTACCCTCTTAATTTTCTAATCCTCTCTAAAGCTAAAGTGAAATGGCTTGGGCTATCTGTGCCCTGCTCAGTAAGTGTAGATTATAAAGCAGTGGCCATACACTGTAGCCCAGGAGGGGCAGTTTTAAAGAGAAAGCAGCCTAGTAGAACTGAGCCCCGGGTGAAGGGCACTAGAGTAGCCCCTGCCTCTCCTGGGAGGATGTGTGTGTCTGCTGCACCCACAGCCTCAGCTATCCATGGAATCGCTAGTAAAAGCAGCAGGAGAAAGCAAATCAGAAGCAGAAGTGGCCACTCAGTATCCAAGAGTTATTGACCCCCTCAATGGAACCACGGAGAAAAAACCAAGTCTCTGAAGCAAGATCACGGAGGCGCTGAATGACCCTTCAGGGTAACTCCCACTTTGGGCAAGGGAGTCCCTGTTGGTTCCCTGGCTCACAGCTCTGGGTGACTTGTCTCACTTATGCCCAGGGATGAGGGCAGAGACAAGGTTGCCACCCACCTGGCAGCCTCCACCCTGCTTCATTTCTCCTGCTGACAGACACACCCTAGATGGGATCCTGTCATTTCTGGCTCTCAGTCCTGCATGAGGCTCCTGGATGGTCTAGCCTATGGATGCTGCTTTGAGGATGGGGGACGGATAACTTAACATCTGCCATCTCTCCAATGCTTATCATTTGGTAGAAATAAATCTGGCCTTGGAGGTCAGAGGCCTGGGCTTATATCTAGGTTCTGCTCCTTTAGAGCTAGGTGATCTTGCAAAAGGTACTTAACATCTCCACACCTCTCTCTCACCACCTCTTCATAAGGACGTGGGTCCTCCCAAGAGGGCAGTTAGGTGGTCAAACTGTTAATGGGAGTAACAGCACCTAACACGGAACCTGGACAGGGTAGGCTTTCAACTTATGTCTGCTGTTACCTCATTCGGCCCTGATACACATAAATAAGAAGGGACAAGCTCAGGATGAAAGATTCTTGTCAGCTAGGAAAAGGAACTGCCTATAAGCTAAACATGGGGCGGATGATGGGAACATCAGGCAAGGGAAAGAACGTTATCAGAGAACTTAATATCTAGTCCTGGCTTTTGGTATGAAATTAAGTCACTGAAGTTTTCCAGCCTTCAGTTTCCTTACAGCTAGATTTCCCAGTTACCTAAGTTGTACCTTTCACGTGGCAGGTGCCTAACAGATATGTTTTGAATGGACAAATCTAATTTTTCAGTTGCTTCATTTGTCTTAGGTCTCATTAGATCCAGGGGCAAGGGGTGGTTCCAACGCCCTTACTTTAGGCCCTTTCCCCTCCACTCACCTGGGGGCGGGGTTCCCCTTTGCTTCACACTCAATCAGGATGTTGTCACGGGGGTCCACGATGTGATCCTTCACTGACTGCTTGGTGATGGTCGGTGGCTGGGTCACTGCAACAGTGCACATGGGGGCAGTCAGGGCTGCAGGGACATTTCTGGGTTCCGGCTTGGGGAACAGCTGAAATTAAGAGCTTCAGAGCCACATGTGCAAGCAGGTGTGAGCGGGGCCCCATTCTAGAGTCCCAGCTCTTAAATGGGGCCGCAGGAAAGGTGTGGGTTCAAAGGCTAAGCATAAGAAGATTCCCTTTAAAAAGATCCCACAGCATCTCTAGGAGAAACAGAAGGCCAGGCTTTTGTTTTACCCATTCTTACATTCCAATGCTTAGCACAACGCACAACACACAATAATTCTTGATAAATGTTTATTGAATGAATAAAGGAGCAAAAAGCAGCTAAATTTCCAGAACTTGGGAATCATGGTGGTTCTGAGTCCTAGAGGCTCAGTAGATAGCCAAACTATGGCGAAGTTAGGGCAGAAAGAAGTTTTAGTCCCCAAGAACTTCCCAGGGACTTGTCTGTATGCCAAGGAGCCAGATTCTCTCACTCTAGCCCCAGCACCAGAGTTCTATACCCTAGGGTCCCATGCCAGCTACTGGAGAATGGAGGAGCAGTGGAGGCTGTAGTGCCAAAGACCCTCTTCATGTCACCTGCTCCTCTGCCTTTCCCAGCAATAGGAAGCTCCGAGCAAGCCTCTTTCCTTCCCATGGGGAGGGAATTTCACTATGGGGCTCTAGTGTCAGGCCCCGCAGAAGTCTCAGTAGGCAGGGCAGAGAGGCCACCATGCACCCCCAGGTACCTCCTCACCCCTCGTTCCTCCCTCCCACCTCCCATGGGCACAGGTGCAGAGAGGCACACGGGGACTTACGCTCATTCTGAATGCTTGCTGTTAGTTCCGATGGGTTAGCATTGGGAGGGGAGAAAAGAAGAACATCGTTATTGCATGCGACTATCCGCCCAGGTGTCCTCACACCCCAGCATGCAGGGAAGGGTGAGGCAGGCTTGGGGAGGGCACTGAGCACTGGGTTTTCTCCTCCCAGCTGCAGAGCTCTGTGGAAGAGTAAAGCAGGGTTGGGGAACAGACCCACCGAGTACCTTGTGAAGATGATCACACCTCCCCAGGAGACCAAAACCACATAGCTGAGCAGAAAGACCAGTTTGTGACCAAAGGAAAGTGTCATCGGGGAAGTCTACATATCCAAAAGTGGCAATAATGCTTTAAAGATGCTCAGAAGATACTTCCCACCACCTTACACCATTGAGGGAAGTGGGCTCTTTGGCCAATGGTGCAACAAGGCAGTGGAGGGTGAGACTGAGTAGGGGAGTAGATCTGAACACTGCTCCAGGTCAAAGCTCCAAGGTCTCGCTTCTCCTACTACACCTTCTTCTCTTCACACATGAAAGCATCTTCTCTCCTCACCATCTCATTCGGAAGACTCTAGAGACAGATGAAGTATCCACCCTATTCATGGGCATTGTTCCCATCCATGGCACATTGCCCTATAGAAATCCTACCTCTCCATGAAAGACTCTGAAAAGGAAGCAGAGCCTGGTGCTTCCTCCTGTGCTTTTTACAAAGAGAGTAAGGAGGCAGGTGGCACAAATCTCCCCCAGCCCTTCTTTGAACTGTACCTGTGCTTGTACAGGTGTGCTCCTATACGGGTGAGTATATGAGTTTGGGGTCTGGGTCTCTCAGACTTTAACAACCACATGAATCACCTCAAGTCTGGCTAAAACGCAGGTTCTGATTCAGTCGGTTTAGGGGTGGGGACTGAGATCCTGCATTTCTGACAAGTACCCAGATGATGCTGTTGGTGGTATGCGGACCACGCTTTGGATAGCAAGGTTTTTTAGATGGTAGGGAAAAGGTCTTGGCTCAAATTTGTTTGCAGAGAAGATAATGTGTGGCTGTGACTTTTAAAAATGTCTTTTCCTTATGATTCTATCAGAAAGTAACATGACATTCTCACTTCACGCTGATGGAGACTATCGTGTGGGTGATGCAGGGTGAGGGTTTCCTGGGGGTGAGGGGGCTGCTGGGATCAAAGCAGAGCCATGGCAACCTTGAAGCCTTTTGATCTAGCTAGAGTGAGACGGGGACTAGGATTCCAAGGGCTCAGAGAGCGCAGCCTGCAGAGACCAGAGTTAAGCCAGGAAGAAGAGATGCAGGGACCATTGTAGCAGAAAAGGGGAGAGGGAACCCAGAGGAGGGGTGAAGTGTGGCTGGATGACTGCTCGCTATCTACACTGTCGGCAGGGGACAGTCTTGAGAGTAAGACCCACAGAAAGGTCCAAAGTACTTCTTTCCAGTGGGTCTGGGTTGTGAGGCCCCAGTAGCACTGAAGACACTTTCTGCTTTACCAGTTTCCCCTGGCTGCCTGTGCGGGAAACAAAAAGGAATAAAAAGTCCAGGGGGAAGGCATAGTCTACAGTTTTTGAACACAGGCTCCCTGGATTCACCCCGGTAGCATCTTCACCTATATGTGAATTTTTTGCCAGAGCTCCATGGAGGGCAATCCTGGAAAGACTAAAAAAAAGCTAATGGGGCTGGACTTTTTTTTGGGGGGGGGGGATCAGGGAGATGGGCCCATTCTCAGGACAGGCTGGAGCCCACTCCTCTTGACCCCCAGCCCAGTGCTCCGGCTTCTTCATTCAGGACACAGTTGCTGTCTCTTAGGGCCTCACCCAGGGTGGAAAGACAGACAATGAACCTTCTTTGCCTGCGTGGTCTTCAAGTCTCTTTTTTTTTTTAGTTGGAGTCTCACTGTCACCCAGACTGGAGTGCAGTGGCCGCTCCTGGCCACCGCAGCCTCGACCTGCTGGGCTCCGGTGATCCTTCCACCTCAGCCTTCCAAGGAGCCGGAATTACAGGCATGCACTACCACGCCTGGCTGATTTTTTTGATTTATTGTAGAGATGAGGTCTCGCTGCCCAGGCGGGTCTCGAACTCGCGGGCTCAGGCAATCCACTCACCTCAGCCTCCCAAAGGCGCGGGATTGCAGGCTGAGCCACCGAGCCCGACTAAGCCTCTTTTTTATAAAATTAAAGGTCGGTTCAATGAAAAGTACCCTAGACATAGTTTGGGGAATCTCAAATCCAAGGAAGGAAAGTCACTTGGCTAAGATCACACGGAAGTTTGCTGCAGAGCTAGAATGAGACCCAGCTCTCCTGCAGCCTGATCTACAGCTCTTTATAAAAAAAAAAAAACTGCTCCTAGGCCAGAGGGGTGAGTGAACCAGGAGGGACTTTGAGACTCTGTTCTTGACATTTTGAACAAGGATGAGTGAGAGAGGAGACCATGGGTGGCAGATACTCTGAGGGCAGCTAGAGCTGGCTGGATGCTGTCATTGGCTCCAGACTGATGATCTGCCCAGGAGCCTTGGGAGAATCTACTTGCCTAAAGGTATAATGACAGATGCAGCCACCACTGTGCTACCAAGAAGTTTATTGCAGGGACAGAATCCGCCCAGAAGACAAGCCACAGGGAGAAGACAGTGGGAACAGCACCTGCCTTCTCTCTTTCTGAGGTGCAGTACATATGACGATGTCCAGGGGAGAATGAATGGCTCTTCTGGCTTCCAAGTGGGAGGAAAAGCCTTCCAACTGGGCTCCGCAGGGGGTGAGGCAGAGCCTACCCCCTGAGAGTTTTAGTACCTGGTTTTGATATGTACAACCTCTAGTGCCCATCCCTCCTGAGGAGTGTGAGTATGCAAGTACATGTGAGTGTGCATTGAGGCTGTCCCACAGCATTATGGGGATAAAGGTGGAGAAGAAGTATCTGTGTCACTCCCCTGTCCTCCTCTGTGGGTTCCTAGGAGAAAAATCCTGAGTCTCCTTGATGCAGGGACGAGGTTGGAGAGGCCAGCAGACTCACTGCTGGCAAATCCACTCTGGTTGATGAAGCGACCCTCTACTTTTCTCAAAGGTCACACTGTTCTCCTTGGGGCTGGGGAGGGAGGGAGGAGATGAGTGGGAGGGGTGCATGTGACCCCGCTGGCACTCCCAAGTGGGAGCTAGAGGCTTCGATGAGGGATATGTAGCAGCAACGCAGGGCTCTGCTCCAGGAGGCCTGCTGTGCCCAAACTCCCCAGAGCAGAAGCAATGGCCCTGACCTAGAGGCACAGAAAATGCCCCCCACAAAACACAAGCAAGTAGAGGGATGCCTGCTAGGGCAGCCTCAGCCTGAGCCCGTCAGCCCCTCCCAGCCAGAGAACGTTAGGATGCCTGATCTTCCTCAGCCCAGGGTAGAGCCGAGGATGGACCTTCAGGTCACTTGGAATAGCATCACCGTAGGACTTCTCTCTCCATCACAGAGGCGCTGCAGTCATATCCAGGTTCTGCCACCTTCTGATGTTCTAACCCACAGGCTAAGGATAATCAATACCTACTTCGCGGGCTCATGTGAGCACCACATGCAATTAGACATGTACAGCACTAGCTTTCTGCCTGGCACATGGCAGCTGCAATTACAGTGGGATGCAGGAGGAAAGGCTCAAAGAAGGCAGAATGACCAGGTAGGGGTGGGGCATGTTGGGTGCCAAATTTGGGGGTGTCAAGAGATTCTCTTTTCACTCCATCACCCACTTGCTGCGTGACTGAGCTAGCAAGGGCTTGAGTTTCCATGAACATAACATGGAAGGGGGTCCTCCCAGGCCCTCCTCAGGGACACAGGAATGGGGAGATGGTGGTGAGGAGGTCAGGGCACTCTCAGCTCTGCCCCACAGGTGGGACTTTGGCGAGCCTGATTGTTTGAGGGCTCTTGCCATGTCTGTCAACTGTAGCGCTTCGGAAATTCAGATCCTTACTACAAACACCAAAGCCATCTATTTTAGGCTCACCCTGCAGGGACCCCTCACCCACTGACCCTTGAGATCAAACTGGCAGGTGAGTGAGTGAGGAGAAGCAGCAGAAGAGAAATGAACCTTCACCACTTCCCTGATAACCCAATTTCCTTCCCCTGCTCCTTCCTCTCCAGGGATGTGGCCTTACCAGGCTCCTTATTGGATTGTCTGCCTGGTACTGTTAATGAGAAATTCTCCTTGAGCCAGCTGTGCACAGACGGTCGCCATAGGAACAGTTTCTCTCACAATGCTCCTCTCCTTCCTTTCTATGCGTGTGCGCACACACGTGTGCATGCATACACAAGCACACATGCAAGTACACATACCTGGGGCTATTGGGAGGGCAGCAGGGACCTCGCCCATGTCTCTGGGCCCAACTTATAGTCCTCACTGGCCTTCTAGCATGTAGAAGCGTTCCTTTCTCTGGGGCAGCTATGATTGGTGAGGTGGAGTGCAGGTAGGGCCGAGATACCTGCAACTCTTCTCTAAATGATGCCAACTTCAGGACCAAAGGTCTGGCTTTGGAGAGCTCAGCGGGGACTTCTTGAAGTCTGTATTACTCTCCTGCTCTCTCCCCAGACATCTGTCAACTAGAGAGGGCCCCCAAGCCAGTGCTGGCATTGTGTGGGTCTCATTTATTCCTTGAAGCAGGGAACAGGGGTCAGAGGTGGTGTGTCTGCATCTTAGCATGGGGATGCTAAGATATCTCAGCAGAAGTAGAACTGTGGTAGAGGTGGCACACAACTAAAGGCAAGGCCAAGGAGTCCCGCCAATCAATGGGCCATTTTGGATTGTAGCAACAGATATGGTTGGTGGAGACAGGCTGTTAGATTAGCATTTTAAGTCCCTACTTTATAATTCTGATGGTCAATTGATGCTACTGTCAGAAGAAACAGAATGACAGGGATTTTACTTTCCAACTTTATGTGGGAATACAGGAGGAATCCAAGCCTGATTGTCCTGTGGTGGCATTATAACGGGGCTCTATTCTAATGACTGATGTAGCCATGCCTTTTGCAAAGATAATTCCCTTCCAACCATTCCCAGGCTATTCATCCTCCTGGTTACTTCAGCTAAAAGGGCCTGGGGGCAAGGGCAGATTAGGATATATCAGACATTAGAAAGGCAAATAAGAACCAGACCACCACCCTTGACCCTGGAGATTTCTTCTGTGGGCAAGGGGGAAGAACACCAAGTGACCCTCAGAATTCCAAACTCTGTCACCTCTGGTGCCACTTAGCAGGCTCCAGATGGCCCGAGTATCAGCTCAGCCACAGCCCTTAGAGACCAGCTCTGTGACCTCCAGTCTCAGATTTCCAAACATGAGCCTGTGACAATTCTTTGGAGAGAAACCCAGCTCTGAATCTCAGAATCCACTGTACCCCTGTCCCCAGCCTTCTCCAGAATGTTCTTAACTCTCCTCTGACTTTCCTTCCCCTTCCCCTCGTCCGCCCAAAATCAAGAGAAAAAGAGAAGAGGATGGAGCAGAACTCACGATCCATAGGAATCTCGATGGCTCGTCCAAGACTGAAGAGACAGAGGAGGAAGGCTGCGTGGATCCAGGGTGGCGGCTGCTGCCTGGCCATCCTTGGCACCAGGCCCCGCTCCCTGCTCCCGAGCCCTTGGGCTCTAGCCGCCTCCAGCCGCTTTAACTTGGCTTCCCAGACAGAGCTCAGCTGTGGAAAGAAATGCAACAGTGAGTGAGTTTGGCCTGAACTTGCGGTTTGCTCTAGTAATCCTACAGGGCCTTGGAGGATTCAAGGGTCCCCTTGGTCACAGACTAATGTTCTAGAATTGACATTTGGAACCAAGCAATTCTGGGGGTGGGGTGCCCTCCTGGGCATTGTAGGATGTTTAGCAGCAGCCCTGGCCTTGACCCACTAGATGCCAGTAGCACACCCCTATCCCCACCAATCAAAGACGACTCTGTACATTGCCAACTGTCCCCTAGAGGGAAGACTCAACCTTAATTGAGAACCACTGTTACAGAAGGGAAGGCAACTCCTCATAGAGTTGTGAGAACAAACGCTGGCCCACAGGCCTGCAGGTCCTGCCTCCAGAAGATGCCACACACTGAGTTGGTAAGAGACGCACCAATCTCACCGCCTCTCTGAACCACATGTGCTAAGTGTGCCTGGGGCTGAGCATCCTGGGGTGGGGCACAGAGACATGCTCACACGGATGCCCTCCAATCTCAGGGCAGGGTGATGTCAGCAGCCCCGGAAGTCACATGTTAGGTGAAAACTTGGCTGCCCAAAGGACTTTTTCTTAATGAGTGATTTCTGCAAATATTTCATGCAGCTAAGGTGCAATGGTTTCTGATGTCCCTTTGCAGATAATGGCAGCGGAATGACAAGGACCCAGAAGTGGGCTTCAGGTGGTCGGTAGAATGAGTAATATTTAAGATGACACAATGATCTCATTCTCAAGCACAAGAAATCATTCCAGGGCTCAAAGGGACAGGGGTTAAAAATGGCTGTCCAAGAAGCCTGGCATGGATCCTTAAGAAACAAGCCCTTCTTCCTATCCTCCTGAGAGAGAAGAGAAAGAATGGTCCACAGCAGAGACTCAAATACAGAGCTTTAAGATTGCCCAAGACTCTGAAACATGAAGTCTTAAAAACCGGTCCAGTTCGCTGTTCTACCAAGGTGTCAAGTCAAAGAGGAAGGCAGGAGGAAGCTTCTCCAGAACTCTCTCAGCTTTCCTGGAATGACAGCTACCTATCAGATGAGCATATCATTCTCTTCCTGTTTTATCTGGCAGCAACCTGAAGCCCACTCTCAACTGCACGCATGCACCGTCTCCCACCCATCCTGACTGAAGGTGTAGAGGACAGGAACAGGGCTTCAGGCTGAGAGATCCTGAGAGACAAGGCCATCCTTCTGGAGAGCTAGAGCAAAAAGCGGGCCACTGATCACTGCAATAGGATGAGGTCCCTCCCCTGTGCCAGGATGTGGGGCCAGCTAAAGGATTCAGATTCGTATTTTTGTTGTTTCTTTCCTGGAAGCCAGGCTCAATACCAGCCCCCTATTTCTGAACTCCACCCTCTTGCCTCACACTGCTGCTACCTTGGTTTTGGTCACCATCATATTTATGCCAGATTTACTACAACAGCTGGTCTCCCTGCTTCCACCCTTCCCCCTGCCTGTTTTACTGTGCTTTTATTATTTTTTTGTCTTTTGATTTTTTGTTTGTTTGTCTTGTTTTGTTTTTGAGTCAGAGTCCCACTCTGTTGCCCAGGCTGGAATGCAGTGGCATGTTCACAGCCACCGCAGCCTCGACCTGCTGGGCTCAGGCAATCCTTTCGCCTTAGCCTTCCAAGTAGCACGTTACCACACCCGGCTTATTTTTTGATTTATTGTAGAGATGAGGTCTCACCAAGTTGCCCAGGCTGGTCTTGAACCCCTGAGCTCAGGCAGTCCTCTTGCCCTGGCCTCCCAAAGTGCCAGCCTCTTATTATTTTTAAAGGACACATAATCACTGTACATATTTGGGGTAGAATGTGATTATTTCTGCTTCTACTCCTGCTCCTCTGGCTTACTCTGCACCCATAACCAGAGCTGTTACTTCTAAAATGCACATGTCAATATGCTATCCCTCCAGTTTTGGTCAACTCTCACTAGCTCCCTGCTGCCTGGGGTCTGTTGCAACCAGCATCCCTGACAGGTCTCAGAGGCCCTACATAATGTGCCTCCTCTGCCATCTCACCTCTTATCACCCCGTTGTGTCCTGTGCGCCCACCAATACTGCTCTTCAACTAGGTCCCTCAGTGGCCCACGCTCAGTCTTGCTGATTGGCTTTTGCAGATTCACCTCTGTCTAGAACATTCTGAGCCTGTCCTCTCGTTAGGATCTTCCAGGTGTGACTTACTGGTCCTTCATCTGTGCTCCTGCACACCTTTTTCTCCCCCTATTATGGCACATTTCACTGGTATTAATGAATACAAGTGAAACGTGCCACAATGGGGGGAGAAAAAGGTCTGTCTGTCGCTGCTATAAAAATGAAGGCTCTGTGAGGGAAGGGGCCCTGCATTTCTTATTGGTCTATTCCTAGACTCTATTATAGTACCTAAAACGTAGCAGGCCCTCAAAAATATGAGATGGATGGATTAAAAAATGAACAAGTGAGTAGCTGACTGAATGAAATAAGCCATTTGGAACGTTTTTTTTTTTTTAACCTCATGTTACTCCAGAAAACCACCAGGCGGCGCAAGAGAGCAAATGCTGTGGACCTCGGTGGCATATTGTGAAGGCTACTAATTAGTGGAAGAAAAACTCCCTACAGACGCTGCTTCCTGGCCAGGAAACCAACCAGCTGGAAGAGTTTTAAGAGAGTGGAAAATCTCCCAAAAAGGGAGTCTTTGGCTTGAAGGCATCACAGGAGGTCTTTGGTTCTTCTTCCTAACTCTCTAAGATAGTCCCAGAGAGAGCCTGCTAATACCTTTCCTTGGCTTACACACCTCCAAAGACCAGACTCAGATTATCCAGCTGAAAACTTAGTGCTGAGGGAACTTGCACTGGGGAAGATGTAGCATCCCTTCAGCAGGAGGATGGCTCCAGTCTTGGCTCCATGACCACCATATTTGGTTTAGGGGCTGCCAAGCAGTAAGAAGTGATGGGAAAGGGAAGGATATTTTATTTGGGAAATCTTGATGGAACTAGGAAGCCAGAAGCTATTCATGACACCAGATACACATTGGCAGCAAAAAACCCCAATTGTTTGGGACATTCTTAACTCACAGTTTCACAACATAGTAGAAAAAGAATATCGAGATAAGCATATTTAGCTGTTTGATAGTTCTCTCCTCCTTTATTTGTGAAATCCAAATTTTCCAACAAAATCTTAAAAGAGGAAGGAAATTTGAAGACCATCATTTCATACAATCCTTTTTCTTTTCAGATGAGAAACAAGAGCCAGAGAGAAGTGACTAGTTTAAGGTTACCCAGCTGGTTAGTGGCAAAGCTAGGAAAAGAACTAGGTTTATGACTCCTAGCCCAGGGCTTTTTCCACTCAATTTCCCTGGCCTTGATAGAGCAATGTTGCTATTTCAAAAAGGAATATATGAGCCCAGGCATGGTGACTCAACTTGTAATCCCAGCACTTTGGGAGGCTAAGGCAGGAGAATTGCTTGAGCCCAGGAGTTTGAGACCAGCCTGGGCAACATAGCAAGACCTCAACTTTGGAAAAAAAAATTTTTAATTAGCTAGGTGTGGTGGTGTGGATCTGTAGTACCAGTTACTAGGGAAGCTGAGGCAGAAGGATTGCCTGAGCCCAGAGGGTTGAGGCTGTGGTGAGCTGTGATCATGCCACCGCATTTCAGCCTGAGTGATAGAGTGAGACCATGACTCAAAAAAACAAAAACAAAACCAAAAAAACCCCAAAAGCAAACCATATGGTTTGGCAGTTTCTCCAAAAGTTAAACATAAAATCACCACATTAATGAGTGTGTTTTGACTCTGAGAAGAAAAAATTAACACATGACTCTGCAATACTACTCCAGGGGTATGCCCATAAGGACTAACACCAGGTATCTGTACACATGTGTTCATAGCAGCATCATCCACAACAGCCAAAAGGTGGCAAAAGCCCAAACATCCATCAATAGATGAACAGATAAACCCACAGAATACTATTCAGTCGCAGGAAGGAATGAAATACTAATACTACAATGTGTATGAACCCAAAACATGTCCAGCTAAAGAACCCATACACAAAAGGTCACATATTGAATGATCATATGCACAAATTTCATATAAGAAACATCCAGAATAAGGAGATACATAGAAGTAGAACACAGACTGGTGATGACCAGAGGCTGAGGAAGGGGAAAGAGAAATCACAGCTTAATGGTTATGGGGTTTCCTTTTGAGATGATGAAAGTGTTTTGGAGCTAGATAGAGAGGGTGGTTGTACACACGGTGAAGATACTAAATGCTTTACTAAAATACATAATTTAAAATGGTTTATTTTCTATTATGTGACTTTTGCCTCAATAAAAAAGTAAGCTATAATACTGGTCTCAATAACATGCTCAAAAAGATAAAAGAGCAGAGGATGAGGAGGGCGGGTTATTCGAGATGAGCATATAAAGGCTTTTGATTCCCCAGGCCAGGTTCATTCAGCATGGAAGGCAGGTACACATGGCTTACAGCCCTTCCCATCCCTCCCGAAGAAATGTCCATTCAAATCAAAGGAAGGGGAGAACCCATCATCCATCTAGGCATGGGAGTTCTACTGCTGAGCTCAAAGAACCCAGTGCAGAAGGAAGGCAGAGGTGCCCTGCCCAAGGGGAACCCCACATCAGCAAGACTTACATTTCCCCATCCTGATGACCATGGCGAAAGGGGGAAAGGGAGGAGGTGCAAGCCTACAGCAGTCAAGTCTACATTTCCAACTCCACCTTGGTGAGGGCACAGTCTTACTCTATGGCTCAGTCACGTCCCTCAGGTTCCTCTCTCCACCCTTCCAACCCCACAAGAAGTAACTCCTTAGACACAGAGAAGTGTGATGTCCAGATGGGAGTGTGGTCGGCTCTGGTGGGACCACCCTGGGAGGATGAGGAAACTCCCACACCCTAGGAGGGAACGTGGAGGAGAGAGGGCAGCTGAGGTCGAGGATGAGGGGCCACAACGTCTGTGTTCACTTGCTGGAAGAGAGTGTAAGATTCTTCTGTTTG